GAAATGGTTCTTATTTCTTGAGTTAGGCATTTGTTGCTATGAACTTTCCTCTTAGAATTGCTTTTGCTGAATATATAAATTTTGGCATGTTGGCCGAAACCAGTTTGGCTTAGTGGATAGAGCATCGGCCTGCGGACTGAAAGGTCCCAGGTTCGATTCCCGTCAAGGGTATGTACCTTGGTTGCAGGCACATCCCCCAGTAGGGGGTGTGCAAGAGGCAGCTGATTTGATGATTCTCTCTCATCGATGTTTCTAACTCTCTATCCCTCTCTCTTCCTCTCTGTAAAAAATCAAAATTTATTTTAAAAAATTTTGGCATGTTGTATTTTCATTTGTCTCAGGGTATTTTTTAAATTATCTTTTGATTTCTTCACTGACTCATTAGTTGTTCAGTAGCGTGTTGTTTAATCTCCACATATATGTCAATTTTCCAGTTTTCTTTTTGTAATTGATGTCTAGTTTTACAACATTGTGGTCAGAAAAGATGCTTGATGTTTTGAGGTTTTTTGTTTGTTTGTTTTTTACAACTGTTTGGTAAATTATGTTTATAAAAATTTGGCCATTATATATTTTGGAGATTAACCATGTATCAGAGCTATTGTTTACAAGCTTCTCCTATTTGATTGGCTGCCCATTTGTTTTTATTTCTTTTTGCTGTGCAGAAGTTTTTTTAGTTTGATACACTCCCATTCACTTATTTTTGCCTTTACTGTCCTTACCTTTGTGGTCAAATTCATAAAATCCTCTCTAAGAACAAGGTCCACAAGTTTAGTTTAGTACCTATGTTTTTTTCTGTGTAATTCGTTGTTTCAGGTCTTATATTTAGTTCTTCAATCCATTTTGAGTTAACTTTTGTATATGGAGACAAGTATATTTTATTCTTTTGCATTTGACTTTCCAATTTTCCCAGCACCATTTATTAAAGAGGCACCTTTATCAAAAATTATTTGCCTATATAGACGTGGATTTATTTCTGTGATCTCATTGTATTTATTCATTCATCAGTTGATGGGCATTTGGGTTGTTTTCACTTTTTGATTATTACAAATAATGCTGCCATGAACATTCATATACAAATTTTTGTGTAGACATATTTTTATTACTCATGGACCTTTTTATTCTTAATGCTGGATATATGTATCTTTTAACTCTTCTTTAAAAATAATCTTACTAGAGGTTTAGCAATTACAGAAATTTTTCTAAAGAACCAATTGTATGGGTGTTCTATTTTTTAATATCTGCTTTTATGTTGATTATTTCCTTTTATTTCTTTAGGGCTTATTTTTTTAACTTCTTCACAGGGGTAGTTAGGTATTATTTTGCCCCCTTATTTTCTCCCCAACATACATTTAAAACCACACCTTTAGTTTGAAGCATTGCTTTACCAGCATCCCTTAACTTAAAAATACTTTTTAATGTTTTCATTAATTTTTTGAGAGAGAGAGGCATCAATTGCTGCCCTCCATCCCCCCACTGGGGGTCAAACCAGTGACCTCTCAGTGCATGGGACAATGTTCAACCAGCCAAGCCACAGAAGCTGGGCAGCATCCCATAGTTTTTATATGTAATATTTTCATTATTAATTTTACATTTTCTTACTTTCATTGTAATTTTATCTTTGATCAATGGGTTATTTAAAATGTATTTTTTTATTTCCAGTAATATGAGAATTTTCTAACTCTGCATATTTGGTAATGGTTTCTGGTTTTATCACAAAACTTAGAGAACTTTCTTTGTGTGATTTCAAGAAGTTTTAAAACTTCTTGAGATTTACTTTTATGACTTAGCATATGGTCAGATTTTTGTAAATATGTTAAGTGCTTGAAAAGCATACATTCTGCAACTGTCGGATGTAGTGTTATATATTGTTAATTGTGTGTATTTGTGTCCTTACTGATTATTTTGTCTGCTTATTCTTTCAACTACTGAGAGATATCTTAAAATTAGCCACAATGATACTAATGTTTGTCTATTTCTCCTAGTAGTTCTGTCAACTTTTGCTGTATACTATATAATTTGAGGCCATTCTATCAAGTATATGCAAATTTAGTTATAGTATTCTGGTGACATAAACATTTTATTATTCTTAATATGACTCCTTTAACTCTAGTGATGCTTTTCTATTTTGTCTGAAAATAATTTAGCAATACTATCTTTATTTTGGCTAATGTTTACATGATGTATTTTTCTATCCTTTTACTTTTAACCTTTCTGTGTTATATTTTACATGAGTCTCTAGAAAACAACATATATTTGTAGATATTTAAAAATCTAGTCTGATAATATTTTTCTTTTTTGGAACAATTAACTCATTTATATTTAATGTAACTAATATACAGCATCACATTGTTGCCCCTTCCATTCTTATTTTTCTCTCCCTTTCATTTGAATTATTATTTTATGTCAGTTTTTCCTTTATTGATTCAAATAGCATATATCCATTTTAATTCTTTTTATGATTACCTTCACTTACCAGAGTCTAGTGTTGATACTTTTACCTTCTTCCTGGTTGAAGCAAGAACATTAAAAATACCTTAATTCCATTTACTTACCTCCTGACATACTTGCTATTGTACTGTAATTTAATTTTCTGTATGTATGTATATGTGTATGTATGTGTGTATAATATTCAAAAGCTATACAGATTTACTGTATATAACTTAATAATACACATTTTAATTCCTTTAAGACATTATTATTTTATACAGTCAGTGTTCCATTAGATTTTTTACATGTTTACTTCTTCATCTGTAACCTTTAATTTTGGGTCAGTTTTCTGTTGCTTTATGATTTCTTAGTAGGAGTATGCTGGATGTGAACTCTGCTTTTATTTGTCAGAATATTTCATTTTCATTCTTGATGGATATTTTCTCTGCAAGACAACACAAGGTTGGCAGTTGTTTTTCTGCTCCTTAGAGATACTATTATACAGTCTTTCAGCTTCCATTTTTGTTCTTAAGAATTAAGCTATCCATCTGTTGCTTTGAAAGTAATTTTTCTACTCTTGGGATGCTTTTAAGTTTTTCTTTGTCGATTTTCACTTAGGAATTCATTTAGATTCTTAAATTTGTTGTTTGACATCTTCCATTGTTTTTCAGCCATTCACATAACGTTTCTGTCTCTTTCTTCTCGGATTCCAATTAACTGTGTTGGATGTTAGACCTCCTCACCATATCCTCATGTTTCTTACCCTCTCTTCATTCTGAGCTTTTCCCCCTAACCTATCTTCTGATTCACTGTCTCAACTGTGTCCATTGCTGTTAACCTTGTTCATTGAATTCTTATTTTCAGCTTTTGTATTTTTCAATTACAGAATTACTTTTTGCTTCTTTTAGAAATCTGCTGTGTCACTTTTTATAGTTTAGACTTAATTACTGAGATCAAGTTTGGTTTTCACCCCCTTGAACATCCTATCTAATAAAAAAGTAATATACAGATTGACCATCATTCCAACACACAAGATGGCTGTCCCCATGTGGTCAAAAATCCTGCCCCTATGTGGACACAAGATGGTCACCACAAGATGGCCAGCAGGGGAGGGCAATTGGGAGGGACCAGGCCTGCAAGGGAGGGAAGTTGGGGACAATCAAGCCTGCAGGGGAGGGCAGTTAGGGGTGACCAAGCCAGCAGAGGAGGGAAGTTGGGGGTGACCAGGCCTACAGAGAAGGGCAGTTGGGATGAACCAAGGCCTGCAGGGGAGAGAAGTTGGAGGGGACCAGGCCTGGAGGGGAGGGCAGTTAAGAGGCAAACAGGCCTGCAGGGGAGGGCAGTTAAGAGGCAAACAGGCTGGCAGAGGAGCAGTTAGGTATCAATCAGGCTGGCAGGGGAGTGGTTAGGGAGTGATCAGGCTGGCAGGCAGAAGCGGTTAGGGGCAATCAGGATGGCAGGCGAGCAGTGGGAGCCAGCAGTCCTGGATAGTGAGAGGACTGTCCAACTGCCCATTTAGGCCTGATCCCACACCGGAATCAGGCCTAAACCAGCAATTGGACATCCCTTGAAGGGTCCCAGATTAGAGAGGGTGCAGGCTGGGCTGAGGGACATCTTCCCCCCCCGGCTGTGCACAAATTTTGTGTCCCAAGCCTCTAGTATTAAATATAATTTAAAATCTATGTTTGATAATTCTAATATATGGAGGGCCTGTGAGACTCCTTTTGTTGTTAAAACAGCTTTTAATCTTACCTTCTTGTCTCATATGCCTGATTGTCTTTAATTGTCTGCTGAAAATTTGTTTAAAAAATCATCTGAGATCAAGAATGTCTTCCAGAAAGGTTTTTTTTTTTTTGGTTGTTTGTTTGTTTTTGTGTGTGTGTGTGTGTGTATGTGGCTTCTCCATGAGGGAATCCAAGATTACTTAGTCTAATCTCCACTTTTGAGATTTTTTTCTGGGCCAATCAGATGACTCAAGGCCAAGTTGCACTCAGTGTTTGGCCTGGTTAATTTCTGGTTTACCCCTATTTCTAAGGTGCAGCCCTTCAGGTTGTTAACCTGAAGGTAGGGGAAGAGGATTTTCCTTTTGTTCCTCTCTGCCTATCAGGCTGTCAGATACAGTTTAATCTCTTGTTTCTTATGAAATGCTTGGCTCACCTCTCTGAATTCCAGTCCTTTAATGGCTATGATGCAGTTTTGTAATAAAACCCATTAAAATTTAATAACTAGAAATCAAGGGGAGCCGTAGGGACCCCTAATGGTTTGCCAGAGATGCAACTAAAGTTCCTCTTCCTAGCTTTCTCTAAAGCCAAAACCTCAGAAAAGCTTTAGCCATCCACTTTGCTATTGCCAGCTCTGCCTTAGGTACTAGAGGTGCCTGACTGGGAAGTAGAACAGGGTGGTTCAGGCAGTCAGATGAATTTTCTCTTCGTATCTAGCAACAGAAACTTCATTTGCTAAAATTTCAGATAGTAATGATATATAAATGGCTGCATTCTTTTTTGTGATCTTATGTTCATGCTGCCTTCTTTAAACCTTTCACAATTTGAATTTTACCTCTTTTTCCTTTTTAGGACAGTGTCTTCAGCCTTTGCTTCAAGTTTTTTTGTTTTGTTTTGTTTTTTTATCATGAATTATCACATGTCCAACTGGACAACTCATCATAGTTAAAGTTTCACCAGTTGACAAATTGGAGGTAAGGAGTATATATGTCTGTTCTTGTATTCCTGTATTAAAAACTTTTTTGAAAAGTAATCCATGTTGTTACTGATATCACCTCACTCCATTATCCCCATCCCTTTCGTGTATTTAAGAGCAGGGAAAAGCTGTTCAGGTGATTTTATGCTTTAGGTTTAGGCCCTAAATCAAGACTCTAAGCAAGTTTTTTGTACAACTAATTTGTTATTAGAAAGCTCAGTAGCAAATGGAAGGGTAACTCAGGAGTTGATTTTGAATAAAGGACACTAATCAATCCTAGCTAGGTCACAGATCCCCAGTGGGTGGAGCTGGTGGAGCTTGAAAGACTTGCCCTATGGGGTAACTGGGTGTGCATGCAAATGCTGGTCTTCCAACTTCCTAGTTTTTATTGTAATTTTTCTTATTCTTAGATATGTGTTCAATAACTGAGTTGTATAAATGATAAATACGGTGTTATGAACAAATCAGGGTATAATTTTTTAAATGTAGCATAATTCTTTCTTTGAGCCAAGAAAGGCTATTTAGCAATATCAGCTTTGATTTTTAGATAGCTTGTTTTGCCACCTTATAAAGATGTTACTACTCTTTTTAACAGCTGTTTCCTAGTATAAAAACATACGTGGGTGTGTGTTTTAACATAAACACTGGACAAGATGTTATGAGGCCTGTTTTATAATCTTGGCTTTTAAGCAAGTTTTTAAATCTCTTTATAGCCTTCAGTTACCTTCTTATGTAAAACAAGGTTGAGTTCGGAGAAAGCCTTGGCACTATTGACATTTGGGCCAGATAATTAGTTGTCAGGGGCTGTCTTGTGCACTGTAGGATATTTTACATTGTCCTTGGCCTCTGCCCACTAAATGCCAGTAGCGTCCCTCCCCAGTAATGACAACCAAAAATGCCACCAGACATTGACAAATGTGCCTTGCAGGACAGAATCAACCCCAGTTCAGAACTCCTGGATTAGATTATGTGTAGAGTTTCTTCCAGCTTTATAATTTTACTAGAGGCCCGGTGCACGAATTTGTGCATGGCTGGGGTTCCTTGGGGTGGCCACAGACCCCCAGCCTTGCAGCTCCTCCTGGCACCCCATCTTGGCCTGGCACTGCCCCCTCACCTGCTCCACCATCCTGCCTGCGGGGTAAATGATGGGCCCGCCCAGCTCCCTCAACACCTGGGAGCTGGGCAGTGACGGCAGCACCACCCCCCGCTGCTGCTGCTGGTCACAGTCTGCAGGGCGATTTGTGCCCCTGCTCACACAGGTCTTGGCCTGGCGCCACCTGCTCACCTGGTTTACCGTCCCGCGGTCCTGCTCTTGCTGGGGCCCATCAAGGCCAACAGCGCCTCGACTGCCGTCCGCTGCCAGCGCCGCGTCATCAATGCCCGCCATGTTCTGTGCCGCCCCTGATGGTCAATGCATGTCATAGCGAGCAGTCGAACTCCCTGTTTGAACGATTGCCTGAGGGGACAATTTGCATATTAGGCTTTTATTATATAGAATACTTTTTATTTTTTTTCTTTGCACCCAGCTTAAATATCTCTTCCATGAACCTTTCCTCAATGCTCATTTTCCTTGTCCTAACTTAATTATTTCTTTTTCTGAAAATGCATTATAGGACTAAACCCTACTCTCCTGAATAAGGGATTCAGGAGTATTGTCAGGCTAGATATTGTTAAAGAAATTATTATTATGAGTGGCATTTTTGCGAATCTTTTATACCCTTACAGTAGGCTACAATTTGTGATCTTGAATCTGTAGGTTAATGACACTAATAACTCGTTTTTTAAAATCATTTAGAAGGCAGGAACCTCTAATAGAATGCGAGGGAGCTACACAAAACACAGTGAGGCTACATTTGGAAAACATCACATAAAAATTTATAACAGCCTAGCCAGTGTTGCTCAGTGGTTGAGGGTCAACCTGTGAATCAGGAGATCGTGATTCGATTCTCAGTCAGGGCAAATGCCCAGGTTGCCAGCTCTATCCCCAGTAGGGGGACATGCAGGAGTCAGCTAATCAATGGTTCTTTCTCATCATTGATGTTTTCATCTCTCTCTCCTTCTCCCCCTTCCTCTCTGAAGTCAATAAAATATATTTTAAAGTATTTTATAACAGAATTGCTTCAACTTTCATATCCAGAAGTTTCTTAAATAACTCCATTTTGTTAATTCAAAACTGCTATCCAGATAAAAGGAAAAACGTGCTAAATATTTTTCTTATGTAACCTAGACTACCTCACCATATTCTAAGTCAGTGTCTTGCAAATACATAATCATGATCTAAAACACATACATCCCTCAGACAAGTTTTTTTAAGTCATATTTACCATTACTATGTATGAAACACTATAATATATTCTGTTATATTTATTATTTTAAAAAAATACTTGTCATCACCCTATAAATTTATTATATAATTTGTTTAGAGGTCACAACCCACCATTTGAAAACCAGTGTTCTAAGTAATTTCTTTAAGTAAAAAATGTGGAGATGATTTGCTTCTGGCACATGTTTCCAACAGTCTATCCTGCCTTTTTTTTAATAATATCATTTAATAATTGACCAGACAACCAGAACAAATTAGTTTTTCAATTACTTAAAAGTCCTACAAAATATTTAATGTGCACAAGGCACTATAGCTGAAAGGGCATGTTTGGTTTTCATTCTCAAGATTTATAGTGATAAAATCTAGTGGAGAATTAAAAATTAATAAACAGTATTTCAAGTGCTAAAAGTGATAACAACACACCATGACTTTTAATAGGCATTTAAGAAGTGTAGAAAGATTGAAAATTTGATGGTAGAGGTTAACATGAATGTGGGGTGGATTTTGCATTGTCATCTGTTAGAAGATTGGAAAAAGCAATTACATATGATAGTAGACAGCATTCATGTAGGTGCACAGTACTTCTTGCTCATGCTTGAAGTTCATTTATTGGATAATGTTTAAGATAAAGTAACAGGAATTAAGATTAAAAGAAGAATAAAGTGCTGAAATTATACAGTATAAACAAGATATGTTATTTTAGCTCTACTGTGGTTATAAAATGAAGTGGAGTTAGGAGATTTATTAGAAACTTGTATACATGATGGCTCTGCTATAAAGCCAATATTTGCCCTAAAATTATAAAGTTAACATTGAATTACTACGTATTCCGGGAATGAAGGTAGTTTCTAAATGATGGGGAGAGAGAATGCTCAATTGTCAAAATAACCCAATAAAAGTGTTACTATTCTATATATAATTATTCTTCATAGAACAAAAATGGGTTATATAATAGTATTTTTAGAAAAGTGATATGCTATTTTAGCTATGCAATAGAAAATGTTATAGTTGCTTGGTAGGCCCAGGCTCATCCTTTCTTTAAAAAGAATTGAGGTGCTTAGGATGGTAAGTCACAATCAGATGTGCTGCATAAGCCTTAAGAAAATGAGTGGTGGATTCTCTTATTTTTTAATATATATCTTTATTGATTTCAGAGAGGAGGGGAGAGGGAAAGAGAGATAGAAACATCAACGATGAGAAAGAATCATTGATTGGCTGCCTTCTACATGTCCCTATTGGGGATTAGGCCCGAAACCCAGGCATATGCCCTTGACCAGAATTGAACCTGGGATCCTTTAGTCCACAGGCTGACACTCTATCCACTGAGCCAAATCAGCTAGGGCTGGACTATCTTTTTGTCTTTTTAACTGCTGCTGTAGAAGATATTTGTGACCTAAAGGAAAAGAAGATTCAGCTTGTGACGATAATTGGGGAAGAACCACCTGCTCTAAAAAGTGTGGTCTAGCATTCTGTCTCCTATTACTTTAAAGCATCGGAGGTTTATGAATTCTTGTCATTCTTCCATGTTGACTTTGGAAGTTAGCAGAAGGATAACTGTCTCATTTTGTTAGACTTCCAGACTACTGAAAAGAAGGTGCTTTCAGAACTGGAGATGTGAATAAGACGCCTATGCCAGGGTTCATGAACCACCTTAAGGTAATTAAAAAAAAATTATATATATTTTATTTTTCAGAGCAGTTTTAATTTTACAGATAAATTGAGAAGATAATACAGGGAGTTCACATATACCCTGTGCTCCATTTCCTTTCTTATCAGTAGCTTACGTTAGCATGGTACATTTGTTAAAATTAATTGAACAGTATTGAAACGTTATTATTAATTAAAGTTCATATTTCAGTTAATTCACATTTCCTTTGTTTTTACATAATGTGTTTTCTGTTTCATGTCTCCTAAGGCTCCTCTTAGCTGTGACCGTTTCTCAGACTTCTCTTGTTTTGATGGCCTTGTCAGGTTTTGTGTGTGTGTGTGTTTTAACACGTGTATTTTTAAAATTTTCTGTTAAATCTTTATTGTTGAAAGTATTACATATGTCATCATTTTCTCCCCATTGATTCTTTCTAGCCTGCTCCCGCCCCTTGCCCCAGACCTTCACCACCCTATTGTCTGTGTCCATGGGTTATTCATATATGCATACAAAGTCTTTGCTTGATCTCTTTCCATCCAGCCACCCATTCCCTCTGAGATTCAACAATCTGTTCCATGCTTCTATGTCTCTGGATCTGTTGTGTTCATCAGTTTATTTTGTTTATTAGATTCCACATATGAGTGAGATCATGTGATACTTATTTTTCTCAGACTGGCTTATTTCTCTTAGCATAATATTCTCCAGGTCTCTTCTTGCTGTCTCAACGGGTGCTAGATCCTTCTTTTTAACTGCTGCATAGTATTCCATGTTATAAATGTACCACACCTTTTTTATCTATTCATCTATTGATGGGCACTTGGGCTATTTCCAGATCTTAGCTATTGTAAATTGTGCTGCTATGAACATAGGGGTGCATACATTCTTTCTGATTGGTGTTTTGGGTTTCTTAGTGATCCTAAAAGTGATATCACTGGGCCAAATGCAGTTCCATATTTTAATTTTTTGAGGAAACTTCATTATGTTTTCCACAGTGGCTGCACCCATCTGCATTCCCACCAGCAGTGCACTAGGTTTTCCTATCCTCCACATCCTCTCCAGGACTAACCTCTGAATCAAACCAACTAGGCCTTGACAATGCTTTTGATGATTCTTTTAATGTGAATATTGTTTTAGTTCATGTATATCTCTTGAAAATATAAAACAATATGAAACAGATGCAGCATTTATATGACTGTTTGGATTCCACTGTAATGAAAACCATATAGGATGATTGTTTTAGAAATTATTTGGGGGAAAACCAAGATAGCGGTACAGGTGAACACCTGAACTTGTTGCCTCGCACATCCACTTCAAAACTACAACTAAAAGACAAAACAGACATTATCCAGAACCACAGGAAGGCTGACAGAGTGGAAATTCTACAACTAGAAGGCAAGAGAAAAGCACACTGAGACTCAGAGGAGGTGCAGAAGTAAAGTGCGGAGGAATGGAGGCACACGAGGAAAGAGCTGGCAACTGAGGACTCAGTTATCTTTTTAAATCATGAGGGAGATACAAGCTCCCAACTGCTCTGTACTCCAGTTCCAGGCGAGACTCTGGGGACCCAGACTCATATGGGGGGGAAACTGGACTGTCTGGCATCTGGCCAGAACACAAGGGCAGCTTTTTCTCAGAGGTGCTTGCGGGGATTACCACAAGACACTGAGACCCGGAAGCAACTAAAGGCAAGGCTGAAGGTCAGCCATTGCTGTTTGCTCTGCCCTATTGATTCCCAGAGACCATGCCCCACCCAATTTACAACCCAACCCCAGCTGTACGCAGAGGCTTTTGTATATGAATGGCCTGGCCTGTCCTTTGGAATCTAAAATTTCCTAACAAACTGCAGCTGGGTCAGAGAGCCCCAGAACTTGCAAGGCTCCACAGCAGCTTGCATTGCTTCACAGCTGGGCCACATCTGGGCACTTCCAAACCCCAAACAAAGAAGAGGAATCTACAGATCTCTCTGTACCTCCTGCTGGATGACCTCAGGCAGAGCTAAATTTGCACCTCCTTGGAGATCCAAGAGCCAATATACCCAATGGTCAGAGTGGGGCCCTCCAGATTACAACTCATCAGATCCATAAGGGACACACTCAGGGGGCAGACTCAGTGAGCACCAAAGCCCCACTGAAGGAAGTCCTGCCCCATAAGGGTGTCTCCAGCACAGAAGTTTCCCCACCATAGATACAGCTTATCCTAACAGCTAATTGGCCTGGAGGCGAGTTCCTCCCAGGGATAACAACAGTCAAGGCTTAACAACAACAAGACTGTGCACATGGCCCACAAAAGGGTGCACCAAGAGTGTCCACCTCAGGTAAGTGGGGAGGCTGAACCACGGGGCCCTATAGGACACCTAGTACAAAAGCCACTCTATCAACACAGGGAATTAGCCAAAATTCAGAGTCTAAGAAACAGGTCGCAAGTGACAGAAATGGAGGAAAGCAAACTACTGGATATAGAGTTCAAATCCACTGTTATAAAGTTACTCAAGAATTTTCTAGAAACTTCTGATAAATGTAGTGATACTTCAAGAATATGAAAAAGGACCAATCAGAAATTAAGCATACACTGATTGAAATAAAGAGTAATATACAAAGATCCAACAGCAGGTTGTTGTTCAACCACTGAGCCACTATGGCCTGGCAATTCTTTTCTTTTTAATCTTGTTTTCTTTCTTTTGCCTCTTAAAGCAAAGCTAACTCTTCTTCAAACCTGGGAAATGCTCACCTCACCAAACTTAGCACAGTAATAGTAGTTGTCAGCCTGGAATACTGTTGCTTCCTTAGGCCCCCCTTTGGGGTATTCTTAGAATTTTACAGGAGGGGCCAGGATGCTAAAGATCTCATGACACATGGAACAGGCTTTCATGATGGAGAATTGTGTTCCAGACTACCACATTAACAGCATACCATTAAGACACACTAGACTAGACTAATACCATACTATCTATAAGCTTCTCTTTCGAACACCTTACAGGTGTCACAGATCCAGCAGCTATGTCAATGAATAAAGCAAGGCCAGGCCTCAGTGCCTGAGACACTGTAGACACTAGGCAAGATGGATAGTATATGTCCTTTCTAAAATAGGGAGTGACTACTTAGCTTCAACCAGATGCTAGATCTGATTTTTCAGAGGAAAGCTAGATATTCAAATTTTTATGTATAATTTCCATTTTAAAGTGTCAACTTTTTTTTTTTTTAACTCTGACCAAGCAGATGGGTGGGATGGATTCAGTTCACAGATCATTGGTTTGTAACATGTAATGTAATTATTTTAGTAAGTTAGCTAAAATTCTGGCACAGGTAAACAGTCAGGGCTATCACAGTACTGACCGTATTTGCTAGGCTCAGAAAAGTTCGTGGAAAGAAAGCACTAGGTGTCAAGGTCATTTTCTAGAGTTTGGAGAATTGTAGCATCACAAGAGAGCTCTTGGAGAGTTTCCTCTCTTTGGAAGGAGGAATTCTATTGGGAGAAATTCCTGCAGCTGCTGTTTCTTATGGTGCTAGCACTCCTGAGTTGGGTAGGGTATGTAGCTGCACTACTGGAGGAAGCCTGAGTGATTCCACGCTAACGCATACTATTCTAAGCTCCCGGTCTTCGTCCTGCCTTCAGAAATAAAGGCTTGACCCCAAAGACTCTCCTGGGTTTTGTGGCTATGGAACTGTGTGATTTATGCCTTCACTATTTCTTCTTTCTTGATCTAGGGTTACTGCCTACATAGCTCCACAGTCCACAGCTGTGACCATCTGTGTTTTTAGTGGGGGTGTTTCAAGGGTGTCTTAGGAATTTGGTCACATCCTAGTCTAGCCAGTTAAGTTCAGATAGTGCGTGAGTACTCTGCCTGGTTTTAAAGTGTCAAATCATCACTTATCACTTTAATATTGTATAAAAACTAGCATCTCAGTATAATGTTAAGAGATAAACTCCATGTTAACTTTTGCATAGTTGTTGCATATATTAATATACTCTTGACCCTTGAATGTGGGGGTTTACTGGTGCTGACCCCATACAGTTGAGTATCTGAATAACGTTTGATTCCCCCAAAACTTAATTGCAGTTGTCTTTCAGTATGCACGGGGGATTGGTTCCAGGACTACTCCCCCCACTCCTACTCCCTGGAGATAACAAAATCTGCAGGTGCTCAAGTACCCTGTATAATAAAGAGGGAATATGCAAATTGATTGTCACTTCACCACAAAGATGGTGGCATCCACAGCAATGGCGGGGGTTTCCGTAACACAAGATGGCTGCACCCACAGTGGAGGCTGAGTTCCCATAATGAGCCTTAACGAGCAATCAGCAGGGACCTGAGCCTGCGTCCCACCTCCGCCCCCATGGGGCTTGACAGGGGGCCTCAGGCCATGCCCTCCACCTGGCAGAGATTGACAGAGGACCTCAGGCGGGGGGACCTCAGGCTATGCCTCCTACCCAACAGGGCTTGACAAGGGTGGAACCAGTTGGGTATGGATCTAGCCCAATGCGGGGGGCAGCTGGGTCTGCGTCTCACGCAATTTTGAGGCACACATGGGTGGGTGGAGACTTGACTCTGTGTCCCATAGTGCACCCCAGACTCTGACAGGAGGAAGATATTCATATACATTTTACTAATTTTCTTTCATCTCCAACACTTCTATTATAGAGAAAGGGCAAATAGCAATATTAAAATACTTCCTCTGATTAATTCCCTAATTCCATTTTAATGTGCACAAATTTTTTGCACTGGGCCACTAGTCTTATATAAAATGGCATAGAACAATGCATACAGTCACCCTCTGGATCTGCAGATTCCCAACCAAGGATCAAAAATATTTTTTTTATCTGAGGTAGGTTGAATTTTCAGATGTGAAAGCCAAGGATACATATGGCCAACTGTATATTCATTGAAAAAAATCTGCATATAAGTAAACTTGTGTGATTTAAACCCATGTTGGTCTAGGGTCAACTATATGTGGACAAGAATAGATTATATGTTTTGACCTATATCATATCCAAATCTATTGTATAAGATAGTATATGACAATGCTTCATTTTCATTGCATTCTATGGGCTTAAATACAGAAATACGTTACTATAAAACGAGTGCTTGGTGTGTGTTTTTAAGATATTTTGAGAGAGGATAGGAGAGGGAGAGAAACATCAATGTGAAAACAAAACATCAATCAGCTGCCTCTTGTGCGCCCCCTACCAGGAATCAAGCCCGCAACCCCGGCATGTGCTTTGGCCATGAATGGAATGGGACCGCTTGGTGCATGGGACAATGCTCAACCAACTGAGCTACACTGGCCAGGGCTAATTTTAACTGTGTGTGTGTGCGTGTGTGTGTGTGTGTGTGTGTGAGAGAGAGAGAGAGAGAGAGAGGGGGGGGGGGGGAGAGAGAGAGAGAGAGAGAGAGAGAGAGAGAGAGAGAGAGAGAGAGAGAGAGAGAGGAGAGAGATATCTGTCCTTGGATTTCTTTTTTTCCTTCTTTGTTGATTAAGGTATTACATGTGTGTCCTTATCCTCTCATTGCCCCCTCCCCCACCACCGGTCCTCTCCCATTCATGCCCTTACCCCCTGGTATCTGTGTGCATTGGTTATTCTTATATGCATGCACACATGTCCTTTGGTTATTTTTATTAATTTTTGAGAAGGGAGGAAGAAAGAGATAGAAACATGGATGATGATGTCAAATTCAAGTCAGTAAATTGAGTAATTAATAGAATACCTTTTCTGATCTGTCATCCACATTTCAGTTTTTTCAATTGATCCATTTATTTTCAAAAAATATTTTCCCCATTTAGTATAGGATTCAGTCTAGGATCAGGTATTCAATTTAGTTTTCATGGCTCTATCTCCTTTAATCTCTGATATTTTTCTAGCCTTAAATCTTTTATGACACTGGCATTTTTAAGATGACATTCTCACCATTTCCTACTCTCTACATTGTTTTAATAGAACATTTCTCATTTGGGGTTTATCTGTTTCCTCATGAGCCATTTCAGGTTATGCATCCATGACTGGAATACTATAAAGTGATATATTTTGGGGGTATCACATCTGGAGGTGAATGCTGTCTATCTGTCCTTTATTGATTATGTTAATTTATTCACCCAATCAAGATGTTGCTCAATTTATCCACTGTATAGTTAAAAATTTCCCCCATGCAATTAATCAGCAATTCTTTGGGAAGATACTTTAAGACCACTTATATATCCTGCTCCTAATTCATACTTCCCCCTAGACTTATTAACCATTGGTGATTTTTGCTAGAAGCAGTTTGTATACTGTGATAGCTACAAAATGATTTTTCCCGCTCTAGCACTCTGCATGTTTGCCAGTTGGATTCTACTCTAAGCAAAAGCTCTCCCTTCTCCATCTATGTAAGTGTGTATTTTTAACTATTATTGATATGGACTTAAGGGTTCCTCTCGTCTACAGGCCTGTAATCCATTACTATCCTTAATTATTTTGGTGTTTAAACTGTCAAATATTTGGCTAGTGGGAGCCTCTTTAAGCTGACTCACAGGTCCTGCGACCAGCTCCCATTATTTTTTGAGTACTTCTTCACTCTCTGGCATAACAGCTAATTTCATGGGGAGCTTCAGTTTTATATGAGACCTTCAGGTACACAAGTGGCTTCAGTATAGTGTTGGTTCTCCTGAGAGGATAAGCACAGCCTGCTGTGGTGGCATAGTGCAAAGTCCTCTAACTCAGTGTAGGATGAGAGGCAAGGCAGTAGGACTAAGGAAGGGGGAAGGGGTCATTGGAAAGTGCCAACATATAGGATATAGGGTATCGGGATGACTTGGGGAATCAGAGGGGAGGGAGGACAATAGAAAAGTGTCTCAGGAAAAAAAAAGAAAAGTGTCTCAGGCAGATAGATGATTGTGGGATAATGCCCTGAGAAAAGGCGGTTATAGGACATCTATGCAAAGGATGGAGACAAGACCAGATTTGCATCTAAGAAAACAAACACTCTAGCAGTGATGTGGAAGAAGGCAAGACCTATGGGGAGACCAGAGGAAGTTGATGAGAATAATATTCAGACATGCCCTGAATAATAGTAACTAATGCTTCCTGACTTAAGACTGTTTTCCATTTAAATTCTACTGTTATTTCCATTTTACAGATGAAGCTTCAAAGTTATAAGGATTGAATATCTTTTCTACAGACTAATAAATGCCAGAACCAGGATATAAACCATGACCCACTTGATCTCACACACTGTTTAGTTGGTTGTGCAAGAACAGGAAGTCAAGGATCACACCCTGGTTTCTAATTTGCTCTACTGAGTGGTAACATTCATGGAGAGAACAGAAAGCCTTTGGGGAAGGGCTGCGGGTAAGGAGTTCCTTTTTGGACATAGTGACTGATAGCTTTGGGTATTTCCTTATGGTGCTGTTTTAGGCAGTTGGTTATATGTCTGGAGTCTTGGAGAGAGAATGATGCTTAAGATATCAAGTTGGGAATCATCAGCCTTTATACATTTTTGAAACCTTAGTAGTGGGTGTGATCACTGGGCAAAAACAGGTAGAATAAGAAGAGGCAGTTGCGGGCAAAAACAAGGGAAACATTAATGTGATAGGAGGGAAGAAACCGTGCTACTATGGTGTCACAGAGACTGTGAAAAGAAGGAGTGTGATCAGTAGTATCAGATGCTTCAAAGGCCAAGGGGCATAGATCAGTAGTAACAGATGCTTCAGAGGTCAAGGGGCAATACATATATCATCTGGATTTAGAGGCAGAGAGATGATGGGGAGAGTATTTCTGTGGAACAGTGAGATCAGCCACATTAGGACAGACTGAGGAATGAATTGCAGGGATCGGTATAATACAAGGTGGCCAGAAGATCCATGTATGTGTGCACTGGAAGTAACCTATATTCTTCAATCACATTTTACTTTTTCCCTCATGTTCCTTAGACATCTTTGGTGTAGATTGTTGGAAGTCATTAAGCAGTCCCTAATGGCTCTTTTTACCTATGGTTAGGCAGAGTTTTATACATAGGAGCTTTGTGAACACCTTGCAGATACAAAAAGTACATAACTCTTGATAGTCTTGGTTTGGAAGGAAGAAGAGACATCTAGATGCCCAGTAAAAGTCAGCAGATTGGATGCAAAATGAAATTTTGTGCCTATAATGAAAGTCAGATTAGCGATTCCATAAACTCTATAAATTTATTTTTAATTATCTACTTAATTATAAACCAGCAAAAGTAATTCAGTATTTTATTTTTAATTATTTTTAACTTTTAAAAAATTGATTTTAGAGAGAGGGGAAAGGAGAGGTGGGGGGAGAGAGAGACACACACACACATCAATGTAAGAGAGAAACATTTATCAGTTACCTTCTGCACACACCCTGACCAGGGATCAAACTGGTGACTTTTCTGTGCACAGGATAATGCTCAAGCAGCTGGGCCCCACCAACTGGGTCAATACTTTTTATGTAAAATATGCAGTGTAGTAGTCTACATTGCTGTAAGTAATGGTATGATTTACAGTTCTGGGACCTATTTGCATGAAATAGAAGATTTGGTGTGGGATAACTCTCCCTTATGTGTGTGGTTTAGACATGTATTTTATAATTATTGCTTCCATGGAATCTTATGAAGATGCAGATGATTATTTCTTATTCTTAAAAATATTTGACTAATGACTGAACACAGCACAAATATTATGAGATTGTATAGTTTACACTATGGGTTTTTGTTTTGTTTTTGCCTTTTGAAAATGGGAAATTACCTGGTTGGTGTGGCTCAATGGATGAGCATTGACCTGTGAACCAGAAGTTCATTGTTCGATTCCTGGTCAGAGCACATGTCTGGGGTTGCAGGTTTGATCCCCAATAGGGTGTGTGCAGGATATAGCCAATTAATGTTTTTCTCTCATAGATGTATCTCTTTTTCTATCTTCCCTTCCTCTCTTTCTCTAAAAAATCAATACTAAAAACATAGTAAAAAATTGGAAATAATAAACCCTGTCTAGTGTGGTTCAATTGGTTGGAGTGTCGTTCCATACACAAAAGGTGGCAGGTTCAATCCCCCATTAGGGACCGTGTGGGAGGCAACCAATTTATGTTATTCACATTTATGCTTCTCACATTGATGTCTCTCTCTCTCTCTCTGTCCCCTCCTCCCACACCTCCTCCCCCTCTTCCTCAAAATCAATCCTATATAATAAAAGGCTAATATGCAAATCAACTGAACTGTGAAACGACCAGTCACTATGACATGCACTGATCACGAGCGGGCAGATGCTCAAGGCAGGAGCATGAATGTCATGTACCGGGTCTCTAGTTTTTTAAATAAAAGGGAAATAAGGATTAAAAAATAGGTTGGTTAATTGACCCTTGTGCTGCTAGTTGATTTATGATTTCATTATTACTGCATGAGTTGCCTTATTTACATGGGTGCTTAACTAGTGTCAGTATGCTTGGGGGTAAATTTCCTCTGCTTAAACTCTAATCCCACATTCTGCCATTTTAGCACCTGTGCCAGTGGCATCAAAGCTAGGTAAAAGCCTAGCTGGGAAGGTCTGACTATTGATGGTCCACCAACATCATTTTTTTAAAAGAAAGAATTACATATTTCCTTCTCTCCCCCCTCCCATTTATTTCATTTAGATATTGGGCTTCTTTCACTCAGACTGGAAATTCAAACCTTTTGGCTTCAAAGTACAGAGAGAATATAAGGCAAACAGTATGTGCCAACTAATACTACTATGTATTTTTAATGTATCAGCTTTTTTTAACAATTAACTGAAATTGAAGTTTGGGGGGTGGGGGTTGGCTTTTCTTGTGTTTAAACCAATAATGACTATATTACATCAGAAAAATCTTTGGCTAGGTTTCCAACCTTCCACTTTAATATATTAATGGTTTCTCCTTGAATAAAATGAAATATGTAATTAAATGTAACCATACCTTAATTTCTTTTAATAGAAAATGACTGCGGTGTTGGAAGACCATTGCTATTGGAAAGCCGGTTAGCATCCATTTCCTAAGAGAAACTTGACCACCATTTGCTCTGGCATGGCGCAAAGCAGTCCACAGCTTGATATGCAGGTTCTCCTTGACCTCCGACAACGTTTCCCTGAGATTCCAGAGGGTGTGGTGTCTCAGTGCATGTTACAGGTAGATTACCCACCAATGATAGTGATATTAAGATATATTTTACCTTATTAGAGCTGACATTGTGTTGTGGCAACTAAAACTCTTGTTAAATTTTCTTGTGTAGGGAGCAAGGGTGACAGAGCAGGATTTCTTAACTTCGGTGCTATCAACATTTTAGATTGGATAACCTTTGTTGTGGTGGTAAAAAAAAAAAAAATGTAGCAAATAAGATTCTCCTCATATATCAATTGCTTGGGCTGGGTCATCAGTCCCTAAAACTGTAGAATTGAATTTTGAGTCTCAAATTTATAACTTGTTGGACTATGTACTTTTGAGTGTATTTTTGAAAGTTTGTAGAGTTCACTCTTTCTTACTGTTTTTCTACTTAGTAAATGCCTCTAAGGCCACTTTCTTTAACCACATTCATTTTGTTTTGTCTTGTCTGCTAGTGAAATAAAGACCTTTTATCTCTGATAGACCATGTCTTCCCTAGTCATCCCAACTTTACTGGGCATCTTCCCTTTGTCTAGTCAGTGTTTTGCAGGGAACTTGCAGAAATGTCTGGCCTTCCCTTTGTTCCTTTCCTATCTATTATCTATCTATCTATCTCCTTATCTCCCTATCTGTCTGTCTATCTAAAAGGCTAATATGCACCCTAACATGTTTGGCTCCATGGCTAGAGTGGTGGCCTGCGGACTCAGGGTCCCAAATTCGATTTCAGTCAAGGGTATGTACCTTGGTTGCAGGCACATAACCAGTAGGGAGTGTGCAGAAGGCAGCTGATCGATGTGTCTCTGTCATTGATGTTTCTAACTATCCCTCTCCCTTCCTCTCTGTAAAAAATCAATACAATATGTTTTAAAAACAAACAAACAAATAAAAAAAATAAAAAATAAATAAAAGGCTAATATGCAAAGTGTCCCCTCGGGAGTTCAGCTGGGAGTTTGATCATTCGCTATGATGTGCGCTGACAACCAGGAGGCAGCACAGAGTGAAGGAAGGCCTGGCTGACAGCCAGGGAAGGAAGGCCCTGGCCAGCCGCCCGGAAAGCCTGAACGGACCCTGCCTGTGTATGAATTTCATGCACCCAGCCTCTAGTTATTAATAATTAGCTTATTATAATGATATCAAAAGTATTTCCCACTGGAGTGAATCCAGGTGGAGCTCTGGTTTAAAGCACTAGTAATCTCCTTGGGCCCCACCTAGCTCTGATCTTTTTATTTTATTTTACTTAGTTCTTTAAAAAAATATATATATATATTTTATTGACTTTTTACAGAGAGGAAGGGAGAGGGATAGAGAGTTAGAAACATCGATGAGAGAGAAACATCAATCAGCTGCCTTCTGCACACCCCCTACTGGGGATGTGCCCACAACCAAGGTACATGCCCTTGACCAGGATTGAACCTGGGACCCTTCAGTCCACACAGGCTGACACTCTATCCCTGAGCCAAATCGGTTAGAGCTTTACTTAGTTCTTTATCACCTGTAATTTTTCGTGGCTTAGTTGTTTTCATGTTACTTACTAAACTAAAGGAATGGATCTATCAATATAAATTCAACTCAATGAACATTTGGTGATAACTTACATTGTCATTTTCTTCCTTTGGAATTAATAGAGTTACCGTATTTTTCGGACCATAAGACACACTTTTTTCCCCCCAGAAGTGGGGGGAAAAAGTCCCTGCGTCTTATGGTCCAAATATAGCCTACACATATACTTTTAAAAAAAAAAGTTTTTTTACTTGCCCGGCTCTGTGTGGTCTCTGTGTGCTTGCCCGGCTCTAAAATGGTTCTAAATGCTGCTGTTTACTTTACAGGGTTGATTACATGTGTTTATGACTGTGATGTTGGGTTTTAATGCACATAAAATATTTTAGGACACTATTTGTTTCAGAATCTTTTTTTCTTCATTTCCCTTCTCTAAAAACTGGTGCGTCTTATGGTCCGGAGTGTCTTGTGGTCCGAAAAATGCGGTAATTGATAGGGAACTTACCTCCTACTGGGTCAGGAAATATATGGTATTCAGTAGTTTGCATTTTAAAATACAAACCTTACATTCTGTCTCAGGGCTATATCATCCCTCAATTTAGGATCACTCTGAAAGTATGATACTTTTTTTTGCATCGGTCCTTTCTAGAGAGTTCATATACTGTATATCTTCATAAAAACTATAACCTCTTTAACTAAACATGTTTTTTAAAAAATATATTTTATTGATTTTTAATAGAGAGCAAGGGAGAGGGATAGAGAGTTAGAAACATCGATGAGAGAGAATCATCGATTAGCTGCCTCCTGCACACCCCCTACTGGGGGATGTGCCCGCAACCAAAGTACATGCCCTTGACCGGAATCGAACCTGGGACCTTTCAGTCTGCAGGCTGACGCTCTATCCACTGAGCCAAACCAGTCTCGGCTAACTAAACAGTTTTAATTTGTCTTATTCTTCATGCTTGCTGTTTGAAAAGTTTTTAATTCATTTTTTGTAAGATATTTACTAGGTTAAATATGACATTTGAATCTATTCTGGTGGTATTCTTTTTAAAATACTTAAATATCTTTTTTTGTGATTTAAATTTTTTTTCATAGAAAAATTTACTCAACTTGTCACTGTAGACATATTTGAAATAAGCTGACAAAACTAACTTTGTATCATTTTGAATTTGGATCCTTTTTGCAACAATACTAATTAGGCTACCTATTTCAGTGTAGAAAATATGAAATTTCTGGACCATAATACAAATGTCAAATAGTTAAGTGTCCATAACTGCTTTAGGTTTCAAATAAAACTCTCAAGTTTGTGTGCTCCTCTTAATCCATGGGTTTATAAAAATACTTTAAGGAGATAATCTTTTCATATTTTCTTTCCCTCCAGCTATGTAAGTGACATTTGAATCCTTTGGCTCCAATTTTGCTTAATATCTAGCTTTTCTCCCTTGATCAGCATGATTTCCAAGAAAGATAAGAAAAAACCCAGACTTTGAATTCTAATTATTTTCTTTTTAAAATTTAACATTGTGTGTTTTTTCCTTGTGGATCATAAAGTATTTTTAAAAGTATTTGAATTTGATTTCAGAGAGGAAGAGATTTATATGTCCTGGCTGGTTTTGCTCACTGGTTAGAGCATCAGCCTGCAGAAGGGTCTCAGGTTCAATTTCTGGTCAAGGACAGGTACCTCATAACTCAGTTACAGGTTCAATCCCTACCCCCCAGATCAGTGTTCCTGTTGGAGGCAACCAATCTGTGTCTCTCTCACATTGATGTTTCTCTCTCCACTACTACTATCTCTCAAAATCAATGGAAAAAATATTATCTGGTAAGGATTAAAAACATAAAAAGCTTTATATAAGGAAAAGGATAAAATCTACTTGTAGAATGTTTAGAACATTAATTCTTTAAATTTCTGATACTTCATTTTGCAAAGGTTTGCTTGACCAAATCTCCTATTGCTCCCTAAAGCTTTAGTATAGTAATGTACTTTTGGCCTAATATCCTCTCCCTGACATTGTTGCGTTTTAGGGGAAAGAGCACTGCAAGCCAGGAAACTAAGAATCTAGACCTGGCTCTCCTATTAACCAGTTAAGTGCTTGTTGTCAAGCCTTGTAATTTTCCAGGCATCTCTTTTCTTATCTGTAAATGAGTTGCTCTGGAGTAGATGAAACCTAAGAGTTCTCACAGCTCTAAAATTGCAGCATTGCCTGGCTGGTGTAATGACCTATGAATCAAGAGATCAGGGATTGAGTCCCCAGTAGGGGGAGTACAGGAGTTATCCGATCAATGATTCTCTCTCATCAGTGACGTTTCTATCTCTCCCTATTCCTTCCTCTCTGAAATAAATTTTAATAAATAAAATTGTAGCGTTGTATGTCCTGTCTTAGGTTTAACCTTAGGTAGTTCTCGGCAGAACTACAGAGAAGGTAGTGATAATTAAGAAACATTAATAGATTATTTCTTTAAGATTGTTTTAATGTTTTTATTGATTTTAGAGAGAAGAGATAGAAACATCCATTGATGCATTAACATTGATCAGCTGCCTTGTACATGCCCCCTGCTGAGGATTGAGCCCACTACCCTGGGCATGTGCCCTGACTGAGACTCAAACTGGGGACCTCTTGGTGCATAGGAAGATGCTCTACCACTGAACCACATTGACCAGGAATTTTTTTTAATTAAAAATTTTTTAATTGATTTTAGAGCCCAGCCAGCGAAGCTCAATGGTTGAGCATCAACATATGACCCAGGAGGTCATGGTTCCATTCCCAGTCAGGGCACATGCCCGGGATGCGGGCTCCATCCCCAGTAAGAGGACTGCAGAAGGCAGCTAATCAGTGATTCTCTCTCATCATTGATGTTTCTATATCTCTCTCCCTCCATCTCTGAAATCAATAAAATATTTTTAATTGATTTTAGAGAGAAAGGGAGAAGAAGAAGAGAGAGTGACAATGATGTGAAAGAGATACATCTATTGGTTGCCTCCTGTACACACCCTGATCGAACCCAGCCCTGCCAGTGCACAGGATGGATGACACTCCACACTGGCCAGGGGGAGAAAACAGATTATTTCAAAGTCAATGAATAATAGTGTGTTAGGCTAATAACGTAGATCTGAATTTTATATTTTAATGGAAACTATCTTATATCTTAAAATTTAAAAAGAGAGAACCTGTTAATAGTTTCATTACTGTCAATTGGAACATCTAAAATGTTTGCTATTATCTTATCTGTGTGTGTATAACTCAAAAAATTAAAATCCTTACATGATTTTGAAAGTTTACCAAGCTACCTTTCATCAGGTAAAAAGACTGTAAAATTGTGAAGAATTTCATGAAGTCAGCCAAGACCTGGTCTTGTGTTAAATCATCGTAACTTTGGCAAAGTCATGGCGACATAGTTCAAAAAGGGGCTTTTTTTTTTTTTTTTTTTTTTTTTTTTACTGATTTCTTTGTTTAGCTTTATCTTTCATAGTGATAGAGACAGTTGAAGTTATATAGGGATAACTTTGGTTAAAAGAAAAGTGAAGGCTGCTTGTTAGTTTTTTTCTTTTGTGATTTCAGTGCCTTGAGAAAACTAAAGCATGGTTATTTTCATGTTTAAATATTAATGATGGCTATTATTTATACTTATATATTGCAGCAATTGTGGCGAATACAAGATTAGCCCAACATTTTAATTTTTTGAGATGTGACAAGTATAAATGGGTCCTGGAATTGGAGTCAGAAAAGTTGGGCTTGAGTCACAATGTTCATTCGTAGGTACTTCGTATTTCAGTAGCAATAAAGGTAGCACTAGTCATGTAAACTAAATGTCTATAAAATTATCGTTTGAGATCTCCTTTTCAGGATAGATGATCATGAAGAATTTTGTGCTTAAAATACTGTTCTCTGCTAATTCTGTGACAATCATATTTGCATAACTCTCCGGCAAAGCTTGACTTCCGCTGTTAGGACTTTTTAATTTTGCCAATTTACCTTAACCAATTTTCTTCCCTAGAATAACAACAATCTTGAAGCCTGTTGCCGAGCCCTTTCCCAGGAGAGTAGCAAGTACTTATATATGGAATACCATAGTCCAGAAGACAACAGAATCAATAGAAATCGCCTTTTGCATATTAACCTGGGAATCCATTCTCCTAGTAGCTACCACCCAGGAGATGGAGCACAACTTAATGGTGGTCGAACACTGGTACATAGTTCAAGTGATGGACATATTGATCCACAGCATGCAGCAGGTAAACAATTGATATGTTTAGTTCCGGAACCACACTCAGCCCCAGCTGTTGTGGCTGCTACTCCAAACTACAATCCATTTTTTATGAATGAACAGAACAGAAGTGCAGCTACTCCTCCTTCACAGCCACCTCAACAGCCATCTTCGATGCAAACAGGAATGAATCCGTCTGCTATGCAAGGGCCTTCACCTCCTTCATACATGCACATACCTCGGTATAGTACAAATCCAATTACTGTTACAGTATCCCAAAACCTCCCTTCTGGACAGACTGTACCAAGAGCTTTACAAATCCTTCCACAAATTCCAAGCAATCTCTATGGGTCTCCTGGTTCTATTTATATTAGACAGACATCTCAGAGTCCATCAGGAAGACGAACTCCTCAGAGTACCCCATGGCAGTCTTCACCACAGGGCCCAGTGTCTCATTATAGCCAACGTCCTCTACCTATTTATCCACATCAACAGAACTATCAACCTTCTCAGTATTCTCCCAAACAACAACAGATTCCTCAGCCTGCTTACCATTCGCCACCTCCTTCGCAGTGTCCTTCACCCTACAGCTCTCCACAACATCAAGTGCAACCTTCACCGTTGGGCCACCCGAGTTCCCATGTCTTTATGCCCCCGAGTCCTTCAACTACTCCACCTCATCCTTATCAACAAGGACCTTCTAGCTATCACAAACAGGGAAACCATTCAATAGCTTATCTCCCATATACAACACCTAGCTTACCCAAAGGATCCATGAAGAAGATAGAAATTACAGTTGAACCCTCTCAAAGGAGTCCTTCACCTATCAGTAATCAGCCGTCTCCACGGAATCAGCATTCGCTGTACACAGCCACCACTCCACCCTCAAGTTCTCCTTCAAGAGGGATATCCAGTCAACCAAAACCTCCATTTAGTGTTAATCCTGTGTATATTACATATACACAGCCAACTGGACCTTCATGCGCTCCATCACCATCTCCTCGGGTAATACCAAACCCAACTACAGTTTTTAAAATTACCGTAGGCCGAGCAACGACTGAAAACCTTTTAAATTTAGTGGACCAAGAAGAACCTTCTGCAGCCCCAGAACCTATTCAGCCTATTTCAATGATTCCAGGCTCTTTGGGAGAAAAGGGAAGCCATAAATATCACAGGAGTTCTAGTTCTGGATCAGATGACTATGCCTATACACAAGGTACTTTTATCCTTTTTATGAAATTTAATCTTTATGGTTGGGGTGGGAAATGAAGGAATAAATGTTAGCTATTTAGTTTTAATTAGATGTTTAGTAGTACTGTTTATTAAATAGTGGGTAGTAGCATTGCTATTAAGAATAAAGTTAGTGCTTGAGAGCCATCTACAGACTTAATTTTAAAATATGAAAATGTAGAGTAGTAACCTAATAAGTAACTACTGACTGTTCTTTTAGGAAGAACAGTCGTGAGAAAAATAATTTTTAAGTGAAATCAATACTGTTAAAAATATAGAATGGGGGAAAAAGATTTATAGAGGCTAGACTAAAGTTTATCAAGGTGAAAGAATTTGAACCTTTTCTAAAAGGATGGCTTGAAGGATGCAATATTTATAAGAAGTTGGATTGATAATGAAGAACATTGTTAGATTACAAATGGACCTTAGTATATATGCATGGCCCTTCAACACAGACAATGGGGCAGTGAGGTCCTGGGGTGGGGGGTAGGGCGGTCTGGAGGGACTCAGTGGGGGAAAAACGAGACATATGTAATACCTTCAACAATAAAGAATTATTTATTAAAAATGGACCTAAGTACTAGTAAATATAATAGAGTTTTTAAAAAGTCTATTCAGATTGTTTTAAGACATCAGAATTTAATGAAAAGAACATCAGTATGCCTGGTATTTAAAATGAGGAGAATTTTAGGGAAACTATGGATAACAGAACAAGAGGGACATATAGATAATGTCATTTTGGCAGCAGTTACAAGCGAAATTAAAGCAGATATGAACATAGGCTAGCATTAGAAAGACATGAAAATCAATGCCAACTGAAGTTGGATTACAGGGTTCCTTACAGGTATTCTGTACATTAGCTATGCATATAGAAATTTCCTGCTCACTTGTTCAATATTATTCTCTGCAATTACTTTATCTGTAATGCTATAGCCTTGCTGTTGCATCAGAGAGCAAGGATGGAGAGGTTAGCAAAGCAATTGAAACTTGAGAAAGAGGAGTTAGAACGATTGAAGGCTGAAGTTAACGGTATGGAGCATGACCTAATGCAGAGACGGCTCAGAAGGGTCAGCTGCACCACTCCGAGTCCAACGGTAAGTTGGGATGTGTTGGATAGGAAGGTGGGGGTGTTCTATCTGACAGAGTTTTTTGTTTTTACACAGTAGATGAAGAACTTTTGCTTTCAATAATTCTAATTAAAATAATTTGATGCTTTATTTTTTTCATATGTATGAATTCCACAGGCTCATTAGTATTTTTAAATACTGATGATTATAATCAAGCTATAGATCTCATTTACAAAAATTGCATTGTGTCAAAATAGAAATGAAGAGTGCACCCTGAGCAAATATTTTATAAATTGTTCTTGTGTATTCTTCTAAACATACATATTTTTCCAAGCATTAAAAAATTATTTTTCTAAGTATGTTAATTTATATGAGCTACAGTGAGATCAATATGAATTTTGGGAGTGTTGACTATAGACTTTATTAAGGCAGAGCAATTTTGTTATGTATAAATAATTGTAGAAACTAAAATAACCGTATTGACAATAGTCCTAACAGGAACTACTCTAATGAAAAGATTTTGGATAATATAGTTTTAACATGTTGGTTAATCTATAATAATAAAAGCATAATATGCTAATTAGACTAGCCAGCCAGACATCCTTCTGGACAACCTTCTAGATGAAGCTGTGGCTACAAGGGCCGAGCCCTTTGCTCGAGTTTTGTGCATCAGGCCTCTAGTATTTAATAAAGATCTTAAACAGTTTTGAAAATTTTGAAACAAGTCTCTAAAATATTGGGACATCACAGATTTTCTCTGATCCAACCACCTATAATTTGACCTTTTAATGTTCAGTCAACAACCATATTTCATAATTTGTGATTATGGTCCAATGTTAGGTGCTTAGTTCATACCTGTTAGTGGGAAGAATAGATCCATCAACCTATAAGAGAACTCATATGTTAACTAGTTTCTGTTTATACTCAGTGCACTTCTCTGCTCTATCATATTCCTCTTGCTGGAATGCCATTCTAAAACTCTGCATGTACAAATCCTGCCTGTTTTTCAATCTCTACTTTTTTCTCAGAGCCATTCCTCATTTTATTACCCTCTCTAAACTAAGGGTAATCTCTCTCGCAAAGTTTATAAGTTTAGAGAAGTGGGCATATATGTTAGGCCTCTTACAAACAGATTGAAGGAAAAAAAGGGTAAGAAACCACTGCCCTAAACAGTATATAATATTGTTGTATAAGCAGAGAGGAAAGGGGAAGCCATTTTAGAAAGGAAAAGAACGAGGCAAAGGAGATTTGAAGTCAAGATAGAGACTTTCAGGAAGCAGCAATTAACAGTTCTTTCTCTCACGTAAGCTGAGATTTCTGATGTCTTAACAGTTTCATGTTCATAGGTGGAATGGGGCTTAGATATTGAACACTAGGTTGAAGTGTTTGAATTTTATTCTGCTGGTCATATGGAACCAGTAGATGTTTTTGAGAAACAGGCATATTTTTTGTTTGTTTTTATTTCCTCACCCAAGGACATGCTTAGGAGAGAGGAAAAGGGAGAGAGAGATAAACATGTATTGGCTGCCTTCCATACGTGCCCTACCCAGGGATTGAACCCATAACCCAGGTATGTGTTCTGACCCATCAAACTGGCAAGCTTTCAGTGCACAGGATGACGCTTAACCAGCTGAACCACACGGGTCAGGGCTGAGAAACAGGCATATATATATATATATATATATATATATATATATATATATATATATATATATATATATATATATATAAAAGCCTAAGGAACTGGCAAGCTTTGAGTGCACCGGATGACACTTAACCAACTGAACCACATGGGTCAGGGCTGAGAAACAGGCATACACACACACACACATATATATATGTGTGTGTGTGTGTGTGTGTGTGTGTATATATATATATATATATATATATATATATATATATATGCCTAAGGGACTGTCCAACTGTCCAACCAGTAGCTATGATGCACAATGACCACCAGGAGGCAGATGCTCCAACCAGTAGCTATGACACACACTGACCACCAGGGGGCAGACACTGAACGCAGGAGCTGCAGTGACTTGGCAGCTGCAGTTCTTGGGTAACACACCTGGAACCAGAAAGGAGGGAGCCCAATTCTGGGAACCATCCTCTAAGAATCTGGGACCCCTCAAGGTATATCAGAGAGCTGGTTTCGGCCTGATCCACAAAGGCCAGGCAAAAGGACCCCATGGTGCACGAATGCACCGGGCCTCTAATATTTAATAATTTAGTGAAATTTTTTTCTAATACTAAAATCTCTTAGAATATTACAAAACTATCTTGAACTGAAAGGTGATATTTCTGCCTCATTTTTTCTCACTTGAAATCTTAACTGAATCCTTTGATGGAGAGAGATACTGAAGAATGTAATTCATACAAGAAAGCACCTGTGATTGTTGGGCACTTGGGAGTCCTTTAGGTACTTGTAGGGCATCGACTTTCTTAGCAAAGAAGTTATTTTCTCTAACAAAACCATATAAGCTTTGATTGTCAACCACTGCTGTGTGATAACCCCTACTAAATAAAGCCCTGTTGGTTTTTTTGTTGTTGGAAGTAGAGAACTGTCTAATGTAGCATAGGTTAGTGTTTCTAAAAAACCCAGGTTTTAGGTGAGAGCTTTTATTGATGACACTTCTTTAGAAAAAAGAGGAACTTGGTAAAACTGCTGTCCTGGGCTGTAATTTATTTTTAACTTTTTATTATAGAGAATTTCAAAGATAATAAAACTGAACTCTTATGTAGCCCCCATGTAGCCATCAGCAAACTTCAGAAATTGATAGCTCATGTGGGTGATAGTATTTGAGAAGTGAGAAATTTGAGTGTGTGATTTCCCCTGTGTTTCTGCTCCTAGGCCCTACAGTAAAATGAAAGACTATTAGGATTTCATGGCTGAGGGACAATTATGGCTAAGTCAGTAAGCTCTCAATTCAGGCGTGAACTTGAATCCTACTTCTGCTGCTTTCATGTCACTCATATATCCTTGGATATGTAACCTTCTCTATGCTTGTTATCTTTTTTTCAAAATACATTTTTTTATTGATTTCAGAGAGAAAGGGAGAGAGAGATGGAAACATCAATGATGAGAATCATTGATCAGTTGCCTCCTGCACACCCCCTACTTGGGGATTGAGCCTGTAACCCAGGCATGTGTCCTTGACAGGAATCAAACCTGGGACCTTTCAGTCAGGAGGCCGACGCTCTAGCCACTGAGCCAAACCAGCTAGGGCAATGCTTGTTTCCTTATTATAATGCTAGAGGCCCAGTACACGAAATTCGTGCATGGGGAGGGTGGGTCCCCTTAGCCCATCCTGTACCCTCTCCAATCCAGGACCTCTCAGGGAATGTCTGACTCCCCTCTCACAATCTGGAACCACTGGCTCCTACCTGCTCATCTGCCTGCCTGCCTGATCTCCCCTTACTGCCCCCCATGCCAGCCTGGTTGCCCCCAATTCCCCACCCCCACCCCAATCAGCCTGGTCACCCCCTCACTGCCATCCTCTGCTGGCCTGGTCGCCTCTCACTGTCCCCCCTCCCAGCCTGGTCACCCCACACAGCCTACTGTTCAGTCATTTGATCATCCCTCACTAACCCCCCTGCCAGCCTGGTCGCCCCACACAGCTTGTTCAGTCATCCATTCAGTTGGGTGGTAGCTTAGGCTTTTATATATATAGATATGCCAGTACCCATTTGATGGGATTTTTTTTATTCTTTTTTTTCAATTTAATAAATATTGCTCAGATTATTACAATTGTTTCTCCTTTTTTATTCTTATGATTGATTGTACTATTTTTATTTTTTTCATTTTTTTAAAATATATTTTTATTGATTTCAGAGAGGGAGAAAGAGATAGAAGCATCCATGGTGAGAGAGAATCATGGATCAGCTGCCTTCTGCACACCCCCCATCGGGGATCGAGCCCACAACCCAGGTATGTGCCCTTGACTGGACTCGAACCCGGGGCCCCTCAGTCCCCAGGCTGATGCTCCATCCACTGAGCCAAACCGGTCAGGGCTATTTTTTTCATTTTTTTATTGTCTAAAATTTTACATATGTCTTCTTTTAACCCAGTTGACACACCCCCTCCCCCAGCCATTCCCACCCCAGACAAGCTCCCACTTCCCCAGTGTCTGTATCCATTGGTTATACTGATGGGATTTTTGTTAGGATTAAATAACACATTAAACAATTTATATAAAGTTCAACAAATGGTATAAAATAAATGTTGGTTGCAAGATACTGGAAAATATACTTGAGATAAATCTGAAGTGTTTTATAAAAATAATTTCCTTTTAACTTCAGAAACATGCATAACACAAGGCATATATAGAAAATCTGAAAACAAAGGATTTTGTCAGAATCTCCTTTTCCTTCATACAAGCTCATTTGAGGCACATGACAGTTGAAAGAGTGTGCCCACATAGGCTCTGGAGCCAAAACAGCTCTAGCACTCACAGGTTATATCTAATTTCTCTGCAGTTGATTTTCCATAACTAGAAAAGGGAATTATAACAAGTACACTTTAATAAAAAGACAAATGTATGTAAAATGGCTGGCATGTTTTAGGTGCTCAGTAAATGGCTATCCTTACTTATCATTGTCCCAGTCACATAGGATTATGTAATAGAGAATTGACTTTTTTGCTATGGAGCGTGTATTGCTACCTTCATGTTTTCAAATGAATTTTTTTTTTTTATCAAGCAGTATATAAAAATTTTGTTAAAAGTGTGACTAATGAGACTGGAATGCACACTTTTGACCAACTCTGTGTACAGTTACAGAAACTTAGAGGAGCTAAGAAGGAGGGCAAAAGTATAAGATGCATGCCCAGCATAATTTTTCTCAATCTACTATATGCAAAGCATTGTATTAAAGGCTGTGAGAGATGCCATCTATTGGAAGAGATCTGTATGTAAAAAAATATACATATGTCTGTGAATGTGTGTGTGTGTGTGTGTGTGTGTGTGAGAGAGAGAGAGAGAGAGAGAGAGAGAGAAAGGTAGCAAATCAGAAGTGCTTGCCAACTGAATAATAAATAATATTAAGTGCTTCCCAGCTCAGAGATAGAAATGTTAGTTTTTTGCTAGCAATGTTCAAAGATGAGACAATTTCATGGAGAAGAGGAAAATCTAAGTTATACCTTGAAGGAGAAGTAAGATTTTAATAGGCAGAGAGCTGTTAATTACCCACTCCCCCAAGTTTTTTTCCCATTCGTCTTGTTCTGACTAATTGGGCTTGTGGACTAACCCACAGCTTTGATTCTCAGATGCATAATTGGGGCCAAGGCACCTAAGACCATCAGTGGTCTTCAACATTGGTCTCTGTGAGACAGCTTCCTAAAGTGCTGAAACAGTAGGCTCAAGATATGTCACTTTTTGAAAAAAAAAAAGTGTAGCTATAAACATTCTGGTAGTTTACAAACAACTGTAAATTATGCACAGCCAATCTCAAAATCCTTTCTACATGAAAAACTGTACTTTTTGACAAATGTAATGATGTTCAAAAATAGCTTTTCCCCCTCAATCAGAAGCTTCAGAAAAGGACATAGGAATCTTATAGTTAAACAGTTTAGTGAGTTCCAGTGGTTCTCCTGTCTTTGGAAATGAGCCTGTTGATAAGAGCTTTTGTTGTTATTGTTGTTGTTATAAGCAAATGTGCAGTAGTCTCTTCATATAAAGTGTATTATAATATTTGCATACTTAGTTACAGAGCTTGACTATTCAGGTACACCTTGGCTAAAACATTTCCTCCCACCCCAATATATAGGAAAGATCAGCTCCTTCAGGTACTTGACTTTGCTGATATGATTCTACAAAGAAAAATAGGTTCTTCACATATTCCTAGGAAGATAGCATCAGTCACATGATTTACCCATAGGAATGAGAAAAGAAAAGCAGTCCCTAATAAATGTTTCTAAATGACTTTTATGTTCCTCTGGCATTCTAAGGGATTGTAGCTCTTACTATTTTAAACTTTTGATACCTGCTAATTTAGAGAGCATTCCCACTTATTCTAGTAATAACTCCTAAGCATAAGATCTTGCATTATTGTGAATGAAAATAACCCTTTTTGCTCTTGTTTATTCACTCTTACAGTGTATTTAGTTTTTAGCAAAATACGTGTTTTCAAGAGTGAGATTTTATTTTGTTTTCCTATCATAGCAGATTTTTATCTTTTACTTTACAGAATCACCTTAGAAACTGAGTTAATATCCAGGCTGTGCTGAAAGCTTCAGTACCTATGCCTCTGGAGTCTAAACCCTAACTTTTTTCATGTACATATATGTAAAATAGTAAACGAATTTAGAATGTCAGAGGAAATAAAGGCTTCCAAAAAACTGTAACTGAAGAACGGGACTCTCTTCACATTTTAGTGTCTCATGTATGTCCTGAAAGGCCTAAGTAGTAGGTTGGTAACCTTGGGAAAATTATATAACCTCTGTGCCTCCACTATCCTTATGTATAAATTGAGTGTGATATTAGTACTTACTTTGAAAAATGGTTTTGAGGAAAAAATGAGAGAAATCTGGTGAACACAGTACCTGGCACTCAGTGTTAATTAAAATTAGTATTGTTGTAATGTGTTTGTTTTTTTTTTAATGTTTTTCTTGATTTCAGAGAGAGTAAGGGAGAGGGAGAGATAGAAACATCATTGATGAGAGAGAATCATTGATTGGCTGCCTCCTGTACACCCCCTACTGGGATTGAGCCGGTAACCTGAGCATGTGCCCTGAATGGGAATCAAACCTGACCTCCTGGTCCATGGGTCAACACTCAACCACCAAGCCATAGTGGCTGAGCAATACCGTTGTAATTTTAACTATCCCTAGACAAAATTAAAATAATGGATGTGGCTTGTTTAAAAGGTTCCTACTTACTACAGTTTCCCTTACTATGAAAACATAGAAATAAAACATTCTCAGTGCTCTCTAATTAAAATGGTAGTATTTTGTATGATAGAACAGTCTAGTATTGTAGCCTGCCACGTTATATGCAGATTTTTTATACGTGGCCATACTGATGTCCCCATTTTACCTGACTATTCCTTGAAAACTATAAGACTTCTTAATCATGCCCTCTTATGGATTAAGGCCATCTTCTTGGTAATAACCAATCAGAACAATTAAAATGAATAGCAGTTCTTAAATGTTGGGCTTGATAATGACTTTCCCACAATTGCTATTTTGGGTCCTTTCTTACTAGCCTGAGGAAATGACAAGATTGAGAAGCATGAACAGACAACTCCAGATAAATGTTGACTGTACACTGAAAGAAGTTGACCTCCTTCAATCTAGAGGTATAGATTTGATTATTTGGTAAATCATAAGTAATAGTGTGGTGTTTTAAGCTGCTTAAATAGCAATCATTTTGGTTTTATAGATTTAAGAAATAGTTTTTGTCCATTATAAGATTATAATCCCGGTAAAAGAGATCACTCCAGCCATGGTAATAGATTGGACTGGGGGATCAAAAAATAGTTTTACTTTGGTAATTTCATCATTAAGACTATTCTGTTTTAATTCTGTATTTATCTTCTTTTAGTCATTTACTGTATATATTTTATAAGTTGATTTTATAAGTTTTAATTCTAAAACTTAGTAAGTTCATATTATGTGAATCATCTAAATATTTGTAAAAATAGGGACTCCCAAATCAGAATATCGATTTCTCAGTTTTAAAGTAATTTCCATTTGCCATTTTTAATGTAACCTGTTAAAACATCCAGCTATATCTTAAAGTTTGAGGGTCTTTTGTTTGTTGTGGTGGGGTTTTTGTTTTTTTTGTTTTGTTTTGGGGGGGTTGCTTTCTTATAGAAGTGTACTACAGTAGAAGCTCTCTTAACTGACTTTTGTTTACCCAGCTCACCAGGGTCAAGATGTTCTTACTATTGCTCCCATCAGTGCAATTGTCTGCTTACCAAGAGTCACTTGTGCCAGTTCCTAAACCTGTTTATGCCAGTTACTAAATTGGCATGAAGGCAGAAGAAGCTGCTCTTCCTATAAAAATTAAAGGCAAATGCCTTTTTTGTTGTTGTTAATGCTCACCCAAGGATATTTTTTTCCATTAATTATTTTTAGAGAGAGCATAGGAGGGGGAGAGACAGAGAAAAACGTCAATGTGAGAGAGACACATCAACTGGATGCCTCCCACACATGCCCCTACCCAGGACCCGAATCAAATCTGCATCCCTTCAGTCTGCAGACCAACCCTCTAACCACTGAATGCAAAACCAGCTAGGGTGCTAAAGAAACAAAAACAAGAAATTATAGATCAGGGTTCAGCAAATTGGCTTGCTGCCTGGCTATTTATTTACTAGTGGCCTGGTGCATGAAATTCGTGCGGGGGGGCGGGGGGGTGTCCCTCTACCTGGCCTGCACCCTCTCCAATCTGGGACCCCTCGGGTGATGTCCAACTGCTGGTTTAGGCCCAATCCCTCACAATCCAGGACTGCTGGCTCCTAACTGCTCACCTGCCTGCCTGATCACCCCTAACGCTCTGCCTGCCAGCCTGATAGCCCCCAACTGCCCCCTCCCACCTCCACCGGCCTGCTCCCCCAACAGCCCTCCCCTTCTGGCCTGATCACCCCTAACCGCTCTGCCTCAGCCCCGCCACCATGGCTTTGTCTCGAAGGATGTCCAGAAGGTCTCCCAGAAGGTTTCCTGGTCTAATTAGCATATTACCCTTTTATTCGTATTGATTTTTATTATTATTTTTTTAATCCTCACCCGAGGATATTTTTTCATTGGCTTTAAGAATGGAAGAGAAAGGGAAAGACAGAGAGAAATATCAATGTGAGAGAAACTGGCCAGGACCTGCTTCCTATCTTTATTATATATTGCCTTGGATTGCTTCTGTGTGTTTTTTAATTGATTTCAGAGAGGAAAAGAGGAGAGAGAAACATCAATTATTAGAGAAAATCATTGATTGGCTGCCTCCTGCCCGCCTTACACTGAGGATTGAGCCAGCAATCGAGGCATGTGCATTGACCAGGAATCAAACCATGACCTCACAGTCGATGCTCAGGCTGCATTTGTGCTTTAATGGCACAATTGAGGGCTTGCAACAGAGACCTGTATTACAGGTCTACAATATCTAAAGTGTTTATCATCTCCCTTTACAGAAAAAGTTTGCTCACCATACTTTAACTCATCACGGGTGTAGTTTATATAGGAAAGAAAATACAGAATCCCCAGTCAACAGACAAGTAAAGATAAGATCTTGGCCCATCATTAAAATATAGCCATATTTATATATTTGTTTGTTTTTTAAATATATTTTATTGATTTTTTACAGAGAGGAAGGGGAGAGGGATAGAGGGTTAGAAACATCGATCAGCTGCCTCCTGCACACCCCCTACTGGGAAAGTGCCCGCAACCAAGGTACATGCCCTTGACCGGAATCAAACCCGGGACCTTTCAGTCCACAGGCTGACGCTCTATCCACTGAGCCAAACCAGTTTTGGCCATATTTATATGTTTTGTTACATTAAATTAGGTGTGTAATTTTTCTTAATTCGTGTTACTGTTCTTAATTATGGCAGCTAAGAGAGCTACTACTGTATTTTAAGAGATATACATAAAGTACCACATTGCTATTTTTAGACAAGCCTAAACAGTAGAAACAGGGGAACCTAAAAAAATATGGAACTTAACTGAATAGAAGTAAAATTGAATATGAAAGTTGAACAATTTACTTAGGTGCCCTTAAAGTTATTTTCAGAAACATAGTTACTCTACAGCCTACTCACTTTCAGCAATGAAAGAATTACTATGCATAATGTGGCGGCTATACAAACTATTGCTACTATATTAGAAGACAACATTGATTTTTTTTTTTTTTTGCTTGTGTGTTCTTGGAAGCAAAACAAATACTTAAACATTTGGTTAGGATATTTATAGTAAGCCTAATGGGATCTAGAAATTAGAACAGCATCTGTAACGTAAGTAATTGAAGAAATACATATGCAGCATCATAAAGCATAAAAAGATCCAATTAGCATATCAAAATAGCATTGTGGCTTTCATGAGCCATCATAGGAATTCTTTTCAGAAAATATCTTAAAATAGCATAGCCAAATGGATAAAAGCATTTGTAATAGGACCTGCAAGGGAAACCACTATTAAGATTTTATAAGTGAAGAGCTGTGTTTTGGTCTTCATTGAGCAACAAAGAGCTCTTTTTGGTGGTTAAGCATTTCTAAGTCTCTATTTTATGCTCTCGAGATATTTTATATGAATTTCTTTTATATAATTTCTAATCTAAACTTTATAAAATATATTTTTTCTGTAAAAATATATTTTTATTGATTTCAGAGAGGAAGGGAGAGATAGAAACATCAATGATGAGATATAATCATCAATCATCAGCTGCCTCCTGCATGACCCACACGGAATCAAGCCCACAACCAGGGCATGTGCCTGACCGGGAATTGAATGACCTTCTTCTGGTTCATAGGTCCAAGTTCAACCACTGAGCCAAGCTGGCAAGGCTACTACCCTATTTTTTGAGGCCACTTAATCCTTTCTTCTACCTTAATCTAGTTGATGTTGAACATCTTTAGTGTTCTAGTGTATGTATATATATGTATGTATATGTATATGTATGTATATGTATATGTATATGTATATGTATATGTATATGTATAATTTCAGAGAGGAAGGGAGAGAGAGATAGAAATGTCATTGATCGGCTGCCTCCTGCACACCTCCTACTGGGGATCAGACCCGCAATCTGGGCATGTGCTCCGACGTGGGAATAAAACTGACCTCCTGGTTCATAGATTGATACTCAGCCACTGAGCCATGCTGGCTGGGCTCTAATTAAATTTTTAAACGACAGAAGGAATCTAGACATTTGGGGGAATATTTAGATTAGATGTAAATCAGTGCATGGTTTTTTAAAAATTGACTTTTAGATGAAGAGAAACATCAATATGAAAGGGAAAATATCAGTGTGAGAAAGAAACATCAATTGGCTGTCTCCTACACACCCCCTACTAGTGATGAGGGATTGAGCCAAGCCCACAACCCAAGCATGTGCCCTGACCTGGAATTGAACCAGCAACCCTTCAGTGGACGGGATAATGCTCAACCAACTGAGTAACACTGGCCAGGGCAGTGCATGATTTCATGAAAAACAGCTTTATTGTTGATTTTGGTGAGGAAAACCATTTGAACTTTATCAGTGACATATAGGGATCCTCTGGAAATAAGCATCTGTACAGTTGTAAAGCTTAATTGGAATTGTGAAGAATAAATAGATTGCAGTGATAGGGTCACAGAATTGAAGGTAGGACCAAAAACCAGCCCTGGATCAAAACTGACCTTGGGGAGTCCTGACAGGAGATGGGGCTGAAATAGACACTAGATCAAGGAATGAATGAACGTTTTAAGAGAAATGAAAATTTTGTGGCAAGACAAAATTCTTAGGGATTGTTCTATTATTCTGAAATTGGTGACAAGATTTTCCTTTTTTTTTTTAAGATAGGAATCCATGAACTGAGCAGATCACATTAAACTTGAAAAATCTTTGTAAATTTATATATTTGGGGTCTTTGACAGTTGAATAATAGATAAAATTTTAAGGTAAATTATGAAAGATATGGTGAGCTTTCGCTATTTAGATCTTCTTTTCTTATGGTTTGTTCATTAAAATCAGAATAAACAAAGAAAAAAACAGTTCAGCCAGCCTTTCATTTCTCTCCTTTATTTACCTCCCTATATGCACCACATGCTTAACACTGCCTAAAAAGACTAGCTTTGCAGTTAGAAAAATATTCCTTTAGGTGAACACTGTAGATAGACACTGTTATGCCAGTTTGCTTATGTCTCTTCTCAGAATGATAAAACAATTTCAGTGGAAAGAGTAGGGTAATGTGAGTTTTGAAACTCAGGAAAACAATTTCCTTTATTACATATTTTATTTTCATATTTTCCTTAACAAAAAGTTCAAATAATAGGAGAACTCTGAATACCTGGTGATTTTATTTTTTTTATAGGAAACTTTGATCCAAAAGCCATGAATAATTTTTATGACAACATAGAACCTGGCCCGGTGGTACCACCCAAGCCATCTAAAAAAGGTGAGTAGGGAAATGTCAAAAACAATCATACAAATACATATGAAAATTCTTTGGGAGTTCACATTTATAGCTGAAGAAATTTCCACTAGAGATACTCATTAATTTGTTCAGCAAAAAAGTTACCATATTTGCCGAAACCGGTTTGGCTCAGTGGTAGAGCGTCGGTCTGCGGACTGAAAGGCCCCAGGTTCAATTCCAGTAAAGGGCATGTACATTGGTTGCGGGCACATCCCCAGTAGGGGATGTGCAAGAGGCAGCTAATCAATGTTTCTCTCTCATCGACGTTTCTAGCTCTCTATCCCTCTCTCTTCCTCTCTGTAAAAAATCAATAAAATATATTTTTTTAAAGTTACCATATTGATGTTGTTATGGCAATATTAAAATGTCCCCAAAGTTTAAAATTAACTCCTGGAATAACTGTCAAAAGTAATTAAATGGAATATATATAATTTACTTTTTTAAAATTGAAACTGTATTATATAGTTAAAAATTACTGTAAAAACTATAATCCTAAAAAAATAATTCTTTCAAAATAATGAGAATTTTAAAGGTCTTGTGTTAGAGAATGGAAAGTTTGATCTGCAGTTTATCTAAGGTTACTTCACAGGGGAGCATAACAGATCCTACATAAATCCCAGATTTAGAGAAATCACTTTTGAATAATTGTTCAATCATTCCCATGTAATATCAAAGGTATCACATATTTTTGTGTACCAAATGTTTAATTGATATTCCCCCCCAGTGGCCACCCCAGCCGGCCTGGTTGCTCCCAACTGCCTCCCTGCCAGACAAATTCAAAATGGATATGACTTAAATTTAAATGTCATTAAATTTAAACTCTTTCTGCCCCATTCTTATTAATAACCCATGTTATTTTATAAATATAATTCTTAATGCATTTCAGAACGTAATCCTTAAGGCTTTAGGCAACTTAAAAAAATTGATCATGAAGACATATATATGTAATAGTGGTGAATGTCTTACTTTAAAAATACCAAAGAGCCGGGACCGGTTTGGCTCAGTGGATAGAGCGTCGGCCTGCGAACTGGGAGGTCCCGAGTTCGATTCCGGTCAAGGGCATGTACCGTGGTTGCGGGCACATTCCCAGTGGGAGGTGTGCAAGAGGCAACTGATCGATGTCCTTCTCTCATCGATGTTTCTAACTTTCTATCCCTCTCCCTTCCTCTCTGTAAAACATCAAGAAAAATAAATAAATAAATAAATAAATAAATAAATAAATAAATAAAATATAAATAAAAATACCTAAGAGTATAATATTTTAAAATATGATCAGAATTATTATTAACCAAGGAATTTTATACATCCTTATCTAAATAATTTTACCTGAGCTAAATTACTTAAATTTTGGTTAAACAACTTTCTATGCATTTTAAGTATTTCACTTATAGATTGCAACACAGTATCTGTTCTTTTTATTGTTTAATACAGCCATGGCTGTTTCAACTCCTCTGCATTTAAAATAGCTTACTAATTTCTAAAAATGGCACAAAGAATAATCTTAGTGGATGACTGCCCAGTACCAGTTTGGCACTGTGGCAACATTATATATAGTTTCAAGTTGAAAGTCACTGGGTTATATATCATTGATCATTTTAACCATCTATATTAATAATAGAGGAATATGCAAATTGTCCAGGACACCGTCATAGTAACAGTGATGACCGAACAACAGGCTGCATGGGGCAACAAGGCTGGCAGGGGTGTTAGTGAGGGACGACCAAACGACTGAACAGCAGGGTGTGTGGGATGACCAGGCCAGCAGGGGCGTTACTGAGGGACGACCAAAGAGCAGGGTGCACGGGGCAACCAGGCCGGCGGGTGGGGGCAGGCAGTTTGGGGCTACCAGGCCAGCCAGGGGGGCCATTGGGGATGACCAATCACTAACCTCCATGCCAGCCTTGTCGCTCCACACAGCCTGCTATTAGGTCGTTACTGTTACTGTGATGGTGTCCTGGACAATTTGCATATTCCTATATTATTAGTATAGATGGTTAAAATGATCAGGGGCAGTTGGAATCAACCAGGCCAGCAGGGGGTGCAGTTAGGGGTGACCAGGCTGGCAGGCAGAGGCAGTTAGGAGCCAGCAGTCCCGGATTGTGAGAGGGATATCCTGGATTGGAGAGGATGCAGGCTTGGCTGAGGAAATCCCCCTCCTGTGCACAAATTTTGTGCACCCGGCCTCTCAATTGGATTAATAATATGAGTCTTTAAACTTGAGTTTGTGCTAATGTCTACAAAGAAAGCATTTGTTAATGGTAATACAACAGACAAACTTTAATTGGTTCAAGGACTGTCATGGAGGAATCCCTTATTTAAGAGAGTACATTAAAAAGTTGTTATCTGGGACCTGGCTGTTGTGGCTCAGTTAGTTGGGCATTGTCCTATGTACCAAAAGGTTGCTGGTTCAGTCCGGGCGGTGTTGCTCAGTGGTTGAGTGTCAATCTGTGAACCAGGAGGTCACAATTCAATTCCCAGTCAAGGTGCATGCCCGGTTTGGAGGCTTGATCCCCAGTGTGGGGTGTGCAGGAGGCAGCTGATCAATGATTCTCTCTCATCATTGATGTTTCTATATTTCTCTCTGTCTCCCTTCCTCTCTGAAATCAATAAAATATATATATTTTAAAAGATTGCTGGCTCAATTCCTGGTCCAGGTACATGCCCAGGTTGTGGGATTTGATCCCCGGTAGGGTATGTGCAGGAGGTAATCAACTCTGACATAGATGTTTCCCTCTCTCCCTCTCCCTTCCTTTCTCAAAAAGTAAAAATTAAAAAAAAATTAAAAAAAGTTGTTACCTGCCAACAGAGGACCAAATTGGTAAGAAATGGTGGACAATATGTCCACCTTGAGCCACCTCATTAGCATAAACTCTCAGGTATGGTCTGAAGGTCCCACCATAATAGCAAAGACACTTCTATCACTTGGGAAACTTCAAGATTTTAGAGGTTATCTCCCAGGAGCTGGGGATAAAGCTAGACTTCTCTTTAGGCAAGGTCAAATTCTTTACTACACAATACTTAAAGTAGTGCTTAGAAGGATATTTATAGCTTTAAATGCTGGTATAAGACAAGATAATCTAAAATCAGTGACCTAATATTACACCTTAAAAGTAGAAGGAAAAATAAGAATAGTCAATGAGATAGAAAACAAATAACAAAGTCAAAAGTTTGATCTCTCAAAGATAAAAATCAATAAGCTCTAAAGTCAACTTATTAAAAAAGATAACATAAATAAGGGAATGTGATGACCATTTTTATGCCAATAAACTCAACACCTTAGATGGAATTGACACATTCCTTGAAAAATATAACCTACAAAACTGAAAACAAGATGAAATAGGAAATATTAATAACTTTACATCTATGAGAAATTAAATCTATTATCAAAAATTTTCCCACAAAGAAAAGTCCAGACTATCAAACATTGAAGGAAGAGGTAATACCAGTCTTACAGAAACTCTTTGAGAAAATAGAGAGAAAGGGAAACTTCCCTTTTTTTTTTGAATGGAGCCAGCAGAAGAACCCCAATGCCAAGACCCAGTAAAGACATTACCTACCCACTACTCCCAAAAGAAAACAAAATTATAGACCAGTACCACTCATGGACATAAAAGCAAAAAGTCCTTCATAAAATATTTACAATGTATAAAACAGATAATGCATCATGACTTTGTTGGGTTTAGCTCAGAAATACAATATTAAAGTAAAGGAGAAAGAAAATATCCACAAAACATATGTGATAAAGAATTGGTATCAAGAGTATAAAAAAGAGCCGAAACTGGTTTGGCTCAGTGGTGGAGCGTTGGTCTGTGGACTGAAGCGTCCCAGGTTCGATTCCAGTTAAGGGCATGTGCATTGGTTGCGGGCACATCCCCAGTAGGGGATGTGAGGAGGCGTCTGGTCAATGTTTCTCTCTCATCAATATTTCTAGCTCTCTATCCCTCTCCCTTCTTCTCTGTAAAAAAATCAATAAAATATTTTTTTTAAAAAGAGTATAAAAAAGAGGGTAAAACCTTCAAGCAGACACTTTACAAAAGAATTTACCATATATATATAAAAGCCTAAGCAACCAATAGACCAGTTGTGGTGACATGCACTAACCACCAGGAGGCAGACGCTCCAAACGCTAGGTTAGCTGGCTGCTGGGGTCCGGCAGATTAGAACTGAGTGAGACGGGCTGGACATACCCTGGGGCCCTCTTGCAGTCCCTCCCCAGCTGGCCAACCTCCTGTGTCCCTCCTTGGCCCCCATCATGCACCAGTGGAGTCCCTCGCAATCCAGGACCCCTTGGGGTATGTCGGAGAGCCGGTTTCAGCCATGATTGCAGGCCAGGCACAGGAACCATACCTGTGCACGAATTTCGAGCACTGGGCCTCTAGTGTGTGTGTGTGTGTGTATATATATATATATATATATATATATATATGGCCAATAAGCACATGAAAATGCTCAGCCTGAGTAGACATTAGTGCGACACAAATTAAAATCCTGAGATAACACTTCACACTCACCAGAATGACTAAAATCCCAAATTTTGGAAAACAAGCTATTTCTTGTAAAACCATTCATCTGCCCTATAGCCCATCAACAATTCTACGTCTGAAGATTTATCTAAGAGAATCTAAAATGTGTATCTACAAATGACTTGTTTTTTAGAAGATTCATACCATTTTTAATCACAATAACCCCAAACTAGAAATAGCCCAAGTGTACATCAAAATGTGAATGGATAAACACTGATATAATCATGCCATGGAATAAAACTAAGCAAAAACACACACACACAAAAAAAAACTGAATTACTGATACATAAATCTCAACAACATAATACTGAATGAAAGAAATCAAATATAAAAGAATATATAGTATATAATTCTGTTTATATGAAATTCAAGATAGAATAAGCTGAATTATATATATATATATACACACATATATATATGTATGTGTGTGTGTGTGTGTGTGTGTATCAGAACTGGTTATCTCTTGAAATTGAGTAACGAAATAAGGAAAATTTCTTAAGAGATAAGGAGACAATATACTCAGAGTTTTCTACCAGTGGTGGCAGAATTTTTGCAAATGTCATTCGGCCTCTGTCTTTGAGACCAACACCATGTATTTGAGGTGGGAGGTTCCTGTTTGATATATTTTTCAGCTGGGAATTGTGCAAGGATTGCATTAATATTCCATTAATAGCAAGCTTCATCTAACTCCTTACAAGTATCTTCACACTAAAAAGGCTCTTTTCCATGGTATTTTTAATGCTAACAAAATTTGCTACAAGTGATATTGGATAGTCCCTTAGAGTTAGTTGTAATGGGATTCCAAATACAGTCATTTTCGTAAATGCGTAGATGGATTATGTAGTAGATGCTTGATGCTACAAAGGTAAGACATAATTTCAATCCCAATTGGCTTGTACTCTCTATATACAGTTACAATAAAAAGTAGAATAGAAAGCTCTCTAAAGTAGCATCTTTACTATAAATGGATCTACTTTAGAAATCTAATTGAACTTTAATTATCTAATTATTTTGTTTAATATCTACTTTTCCTCCTGAGACTTTTGGTGAGTGTATAAAATGATACTGTTATATATCCTGTAGTTTTTTAAACCTTTCACCTTTTTCTACTAAAGTTTATAAGTAGAACTTGATTAAATTCTATAATTCTTTAGGAAGTTTTTCATAACAGATTTATAAAAGCTATTTGTTTTTTCTCTATGAAGTCAAATTTGTTTTCTTTTAAACACAGAGTGTCTCTTTTTTCTAGAACTAAATTGTCCTTTTAAAGTTTACCTAGTTTGATGAAAATTTTGTCTACCACTTAAATTTAAAAAGCAAGTAAAATGTAGAATTGTTTTATTAGTTAGAATAAATGTATTGGGGTTATTATAGTTACATACTAGAAATCCAAGTGGTATATAAATATTTATCTGATTATCTGAATAGTAAGTATGATAACCAAAGAGAGAATGAGAGATACCGAGACAGAAATTTGCACTGGATTTTGTAGTTAAACAGTACAGTTTGTATATGAGCTCCTCAGCTGATTCAGAAAGCCCCGCTGCTCCCACCCTGTCATTGGTAACTAATACTGGTAAGTGCACTGACCTTGGTGTCCCATGATTTGAATGCTGTTCCTAGTTGTCTTGGCCACCTGACCTTGTTCTGATCCAGTCTGTGCACCAGAGGTGATCAGTACTGTAAAATACATAAGCCAAATAAGCAGTAAGAAGGAGGCATGTGATGCTATAAAGTACTTTAAAAAATCTAAGAAGTGGAACTTTACCTTAGTCTTTGAAGCCTGAGGAGAAATTTACTCTGTTTTGTTCATTCTGATAATGGAGTGTTTTAGTACCTAAGCAACACACTTAGGATTCTGGAGCACTGATTTCCAAAGGTGGATTGTACTAGGGGAACTGCTTATGGGCTAAGAACAGATTACAAAATGCAAGGTATTTTTTTGGTTCTTAGGGACAAATACTATGAAGTTTGTCATTTCTTGTTTTTAATTATTAACAAAGGACTACTTACCGATAAACCATAAACTGATATATCGATACATAGTATTCTAGCACAAAATTGGAATGCCTAACATCCATTATTAGAAAGTATCTGCTGGGCTTTTAGAACATGTAGGTATTTGAAATTTATTAAATGACTGAGGAGCATTTATTGTCAGTCCATAGTGTTATTCTGAATTGGTTCTGATTTTTCAAGAACCAATTCTTTTTTATTTCAAAGAGGATGGGAGAGGGAGATAGAAACATAAATGATGAAAATCATTGAAAGCCTGCCTCCTGCACACCCCACACTGGGGATCGAGCCCACAACGCAAGCATGTGCCCTGACCAGGAATCAAACCGTGACCTCCTGGTTCATAGATCGGCGTTCAACCACTGAGCCATGCTGGCAGGACTCAAGTACTGCTATTACTTTTCTTTTTGGGTTGCTAATCCTTACTGGAGGAAGTTTTTTCCATTGCTTTTTCAGAGAGAATAAAAGGGATAGAAGGGGATGTAGAGGGAAGGAGAGAAGAGAGAGGGAGAAACATATGAGAGAGACACCTCTATTGGTTGCCTCCCGCACGTGCCCTTGACCAGGAATCAAACTCACAACCCTTTGGTTCAAGGACCAATACTATAACCACTGGCCACATCAGCCAGGGCAGAACTGCTTGTTCCTTAATTTTAAAATGCTGTAGTTTAATGTTATTATTATAATGGATTCTTTGGTTAGCCTTACATGTGCAGTCTATCTTCAACCCATAATTTTCCAATAACTATTTCTTAATCACGGCTTTGCTAAAGTATAGTATCTCAAATTTTGCTTTCACTTTGACATTTCATTACTGAGTTTGTAACCCTAAACAATGAGCAAGTGGGAAACTGATGAAAGAAGGCATGTGGAATAAATAGGAGAGAATAGAAAAAGTCAGAAAAGCCATTGCTTTGTATAGGATGGAAAAGCAGTATTAAACATGGCACTTGTCCTCACAGAAAAATGAAAGATAACATGAGGTAGTAGAAGGGGTAAGCACTCAATTGTGCATATCCTGTGAGAGATTTTTGTGCTCCCAACAATACTTCCAAATGAATGGCTTGATCCCTTTTAAGTAACTTCACTTTGTCTCATGCAGACTCACCAGACCCTTGCACAGTTGAGAGGAAAGCCCGAAGAATTAGTGTGACCTCCAAAGTACAGGCGGATGTTCATGACACCCAGGCAGCAGCTGCAGGTGGTTTGTACTTGTGTCTCTAGCATTTGTGCAAAATGTCCAAAGACACGTGTTAACCCATGTAGAGCTATCATAAGTAAAGACCATTTTTTTTTTTTTGCTTTAAAAAAATTACCCTCTCTACTGAGTTTCTAAAGTGGTGCTGTCCAATAGAAATGTTAGACATCTACATTAATTTAAAACATTGTAGTAAACATTTAAAAACTAAATAAGTAAAACTAGTATATTTTAATCTAAATACAAGGTGTTATTTTACAATAATATGAAATCAATATAAATTATGAGATATTTTACATCTTTTAAAGATTTTTTTTTAATCCTTATCCAAGGACATGTTTTTTTATTGACTTTAGAGAGAGGGGAAGGGAAAGGGGAAAAGAGAAACATCAATGTGAGAGACCAACATCTATCGTCTACCTCTATACGTGCCTGAATAGGGTTCAAATGCATGGGATAGGACAATGCTCCAGCCAACTGAGTCATGCCAGCCAAGGTGACATTTTTTATTTCATATTAAATCTTCCAAATCTGGTATAAATTTTACACTTCAGAGCATCTCAATTCAGAGTGGCCACATGTCAAGTGGCTAACACATTGGACAGATTGCTCTAGATATTATGTCTAGAAAGCAAGGCGAAGGAGAAGGAACCAAGATGGTGGCATAGATAAAAGCAGTACTTGCTGCCTCCCACAACCACATCAAATTACAACTAAAATACTGAACATCATTTAGAACTGCCTGAAATCTGGCTGAATGGAAGTCTTACAACTAGAGAAATAAAGAAGAAACTACATCAAGATTGGTAGGAGGGGCAGAGGTGCAGAACAGGCTGGTCTGACACCCTCATATGGCATGGTTTTAATTTGGAGTGATATCAAGTCAGTGAGATCTGTGAGAAGCAAGGGCTCCCAACTCCATACCAGAATGGTCAGCCCAGGCTTCCAGTGCCAGTAAAAGAAATCCCCCATACTTTACCAGGGGTATTCAAACTACGGCCCGCGGGCCACATGCGCCCCGCAGAGGAGTCTGATCCGGCCCACCAGGTTTTTTGGGCAGTGAGCGCAGCCGAGGTGTTACAGTAGGAATTAGTAGTTCATATAGTCCGGCCCTCCAGCTCTCTGAGGGACCGTGATCTGGCCCCCACTTTAAAAAGTTTGAGGATGCCTGCTTTAGGCTGTAAAAATCATCAGAGATTATGACTGACACAGAGGCTGCTGGATACCCAGGCAGTCCCTCTTAGAAAGGCCAGCACATGGACTTATTCAGACTCAATACTTCTGGACTCTAGCACTCAGGCAGTGGCTTTAGGGGATCCAGGGACATATGGGAAGGAACTGGAATGCCTGGCATCAGGGCAGGGATTTTGAGGTGGCTTCCTCCCAGATGGGGATGTTCATAGGGGTCATTGATCCTGTGCTGGGACCTCCTCCATCACAGAACTGACTGGCAGCCATATCCGAGTTTCTATCAGTATGGTTCACTCAGCCCCGGTGACTCCCTGAGGCCCCACCTCATCCAATTTGCAGCCCCACACAAGCTGTTTGCAGCAACTTTTCCATATGAATGGTCTTTAGTAGTTCAGATTTCAGACTTTTCTAAAATTTCTCAAACAAGCAACAGTTGGCATCAGTGTGCCCCATACCTATCAATAAAAGGTCCAAGACCCAGCACTAGCACCGGCCTGCGTAGCTTCACATCTTGTCCTTGCCTGAGCACTTCCAAGCACAACACAGTAAAAATGATCTGCAGATCTCTCTGTAACTCTTGCTAGGTGGCCCCATGCAGTGGTTGACTTTGCACCTGCCAGGAAGCCCCAAAGCCAGTGCACATGGTGGACAACTTCAGACCATGCCAGATTACAACTCTACAAATCCACAAGGAACACACTCAAGGGGCAGATTTAGTGAGCACCAAAGCCCCAGTGAAACAAGTCTTGCTCCATAGAAGTGTCTCCTGCTCAGCAGCTCTCCCATTGTAGTTGAAGCTGATCCTAACAACCATTGACCTAAAGGTCAATTCCTCTCAGTGACTCCAACAGCAATCAAGGCTCAACTACAACAAGACTATGCACAAACCCACACAGGTGCACACCTAGAGTGCCCAGCTCAGGTGACTGGAGAGGCTGAGCCACTGGGCCCTATAGGACACCTACTATACAAGGCCACTTTACTAATTCCAGGAGACATAGGTGCCCTACCTAATATATAGAAATGAACACAGGGAAGAAGACAAAAGGTGAAAACAAACATGTCACAAATGAAAAAACAAGAAATCTCAAAAAAATAACCAAATGAAATGGAAGCAAACAAACTACTAGATACAGAGTTTAAAACAATGGTTATTAGGATGCTCAAGGATCTTAATGAGAGCTTCAGGGACTTAGTGAGATTTTTAAGGATATTAGTGAGAATTTCAAAGACATGAAAAAGGACTGGTCAAAAATTAAGTATATACTAACTGAAAAAAAGAATATTTTACAGGGACTCAATAGAGGAGTAGAGTATTCTGAGAATCAAATCAATGATTTGGAACATGAAAAAGCAATCAGAAGAGCAAAAAGAAAAAAACACCCAGAAATATGAAAACAGTATAAGGAGCCTCTGGGACAACTTCAAGCATACCAACATTTGCATTATGGGGGTGCCAGAAGGAGAAGAGAAAGAGCAAGATATTGAAAACCTATTTGAAAAATAATGTAGAAAATTTCCCTTACTTGGTGAAAGAAATAGACTTACAAGTGCAGGAAGCACAGAGTCCCAAACAAGAAGAACTCAGAGACCCACACCAAGACACATCATAATTAAAATGCCAGGGGTTAAAGACAAAGAGAAGCAGTTAGTTACCTCCAAGAGAGCAACTGTCAGCTGATTCTCAACAGAAACTATGCAGGCCAGAAGGGAGTGGCAAGAAATATTCAAAGTAATGAATAGCAAGGACCTACAAGCAAGATTACCCTGAAAAATACAACTAAATAAAAGGAAGATGAATGATCCAATTAAAAAATGGGCAATGGACCTAAATAGAATATTTTCAAAAGAAGACAGAAGGAAAGCCAAAAGGCACATGAAAACATGCTCAAAGTCACTAATTATCCGAGAGATGCAAATCAAAACAACAATGCAGTACCATCTCACACCTGTCAGAATGGCCAACATCAACAAATCAACAAACGACAAGTGTTGGTGAGTTTGCGGAGAAAAAGGAACCCTCGTGCACTGCTGGTGGGAATGCAGACTGGTGCAACCACTATGGAGAATATATTTTTCAGCTAGAATATATTTTTCTTGGGATATAATCCTAGGAGTGGGATTACTGGGACAAATGGGAGTTCCTCAAAAAACTGAAAATGGAACTCCCATTTGACCCAGTAATCCCACTCCTAGGATTATATCCCAAGAAACTAGAAACACCAATCAGAAAGGATATATGCACCCTTATGTTCATAGCAGCACAATCTACAATAGCTAGAATTTGGAAACAGCCTAGGTGCCCATCAGCAGGTGATTGGATCAAAAATCAGTGGTACATCTACACAATGGAATACTAAGCTGCCATAAAAAAGAAGGAATTCTCATCATTTGCAACAGCCTGGATGGAATTGGAGAACATCATGTTGCGTGAAATAAGTCAGTCAATGAAAGAGAAACACCACATGACCTCACTCATTTATGGATAATAAAGAACATTATAAACTGATGAACCAAAAGATATAGAGACAGTAAAGCAACAAGCAGACTGTCAAATTACAGCAGGGAGGGGAGGGAGATCTGGGGGAGATAATAGATCAACCAAAGGACTTGTATACATGCATATAAGTACAACCAATGGACACAAAACTCTGGGGAGGGAGGGTATATATGGGAGGGGGAGGATGGTAAGATATGTACACAGATAATAATTTAATAAAAAAATAAAAAATTAAAAAAAAAGATTACCCAGAAACGCTATCATTTAGAATTGAAGGTCAAATAAAGAGCTTCACAGACAAGAAAAAGCTAAAAGAGTCCATCACCACCAAACCAGTACTACATGAAATGTCGAAGGTATTCTTTAAGAGAAAGAAGATGAAGAGGAAGAAGAAAAAAGATAAAAATATGATGAATAAAATGGCAATAAATACATGTCTATCAATAATTCAATGTAAAAAAAATCAAATGAACAAAAAATCTAATGAACAAAATAAACTGGTTAATAAAATAAAACAAAACCAGAGGCATGGAAACAAGGAACAGACTGAGGAATCTCAAAGGGAAGGTGGGGGGAAAGGGCAGGAAGAAATTAACCAAAGAACTTGTATGCATATATGCATTACCTATGGTCACAGACAATAGGGTGGTGAAGGCCTGGGGCAGGGCAGAAACTGGGTGGATGAGGGCAATTGTGGGGGAAGGGGTGGTATTTGTAATATTCTCAATAATAAAGTTCTGTGTTTTTTTTTAATGAAAGCAATGTCAAGTAAATGTAACTTGAAAGCTCTGGACTTTATAACTTCTCACTGAGCATTTATAATGCTTCTTGAACTATATCCTGTGGTTCAGTGAAAATAAGGTTTCTAAAAATATACAAGTTGGATTTGTACAAGTATTATACTTGATATTTCTTGATATTAACTAGGTGGAAAGATCCCAACGTAAATATAAACCAAGCATGAAACTATATTACACTTCATATACTTAAAAGAAATGTGTCTTTATCATTGGCATATTTCCCTTTTGGAAAAATATCAACTATCTTTGAAAGTGTAGAAAATATTTATAATTGTTGAAAACTATTTGCATCCTTTTGAGCATTTTTATCTTCTGTATGCTAGTTATATAACACTAGAGGCCCATTGCATGATATTTGTGCAAGAATAGGCCCCTGGCCTCACTCACAGCCTCCAGGGAGCCAGCAAGTCCCTGCTCCCTGGCTGCTCAGAGCCTGCAAGTCTCTGCTCCCTGCTGCTGGGTTGCCCAGAGCAGGCACATCCTCACTTCTGACTGAAGCACCACTCCAGTAGCTC